ACATGGCCAAAGGGTAAGAAAGGCCTTCCTCCCATTCACAAGGGAGAAGTTCTCACAACCTGTCACTTGCTAAAGTACCCACCTATTAGTACCATTGTTTGGAGATTAAGTCTCAATATGAATTTTGCATTGAATACAAACATTTAAACCATAGCAGGTGACATATTCAATATACTGAAGAAAAAAAATAAACACTGTCAGTCAAGAATACTGTACCCAGAGAAGCTGTCCTTAGGCATGAAAGAGAAATTTCCAGACAAAAATTGGGAAAAGATAAATGTATGAAGTGATGGAAATGAGAATCACTCTGATTGGAGTGTTGTGCATTGTGTAAATGTGTCAAAATATCACACTGCACCCCTGTGAAAAACAAACTGCAGTATTTATTGCCACCAGGTCTGGCTAACAAGAAACACTGGAGGAAGTTCTTCAAGCTGAAAGAAAAGGTTGCTAGTTAGTAACATAAGTATAAGACTCACTAGTGGAAATATATACATAGTCTAATTCAGAATACTCATCCCAAAATGGTGGCATTTAAATCACTTATATCTTTATAGTAAGAAGGATTATAGACATAAGTATTAAAATAATAGTAGATGCCATTTTTAAGGCTATGCAAAGATCTAAATTGTGACACAACATATAAAGGTTAGAGTAAAAAATTTACTGTTATTTTATACATACAACTTTTAAGTTGTTGTTGCCTTGAAATAGCCTATTATAACAATAAGGTATTTTGTATAAACCTCACGGTAACCATAAAGCAGAGGTGTATACCAGATACACAGAAGATGAAAAGTAAGGAGTGAAAGTATGTCACTAGGAAAAATGGTCAGAAAAGACAAAAGAAGAAAGAATCTACAAACAACCAGTAAACAATAAATTCGCAAGAGTAAGACAGCTGTTAGCCTGAATATAAATGGATTAAATTTTCTACTCAAAAGAATGACAGAATGAATGAATTTTTTAAATAGACACAACTATATGCACCTCTAAGAGACTCTATTTAGTTTATATTCTCTTGTCATAACAGAATACTTGAGGTAATTTATAAAGAAAAGGAAATTATTTAGCTCATTCCTGAGGTTGAGAAATCAAGACCAAGGCTACATCTGGGGAGGCCTCGTGCTGCATCACACCATGGCAGAAAGAAAAAGCAGAAGGGTAAGCCAGCATGTATAGAAGAGAGAAAGCGGTATGAATTTGTGGTCTAGCTAACTCATTCCTATGAAAAAGAAAATGCTATTCCATTTCATTAATGGTGGCTTTCCTCCCATAGCATAAACACTTCCCACCAAGCCCCATTACCCAATATTATTACATTGATGGATTTAGTCTCAACATAAATTTTGGTGTGGTCATATTCAAGCCATGGCAGATTCATTTCACCTTTAATGATACATAAATTGAAAATGAGAGAATGGAAAAATAAAAATGAAAGAGCAGGAATAGTTATACTTCTATTAGAAAATATAAAAATTGAAAAAAAGATAAAAATTGCAAAAATGAAATAAAAATCCATAAAACTAGACAAATGAGGTCATTATGTAATGACAGATAAATTCATGAAGCTATAACAATTGTAAATATATATATACATCTAACATCAGAGTACCTAAATATATAGAACAAATATAATAGATCATGGGGTATAGAAAATAAAAGTATTGGGCTAGAAGACCTCAGTATCCTACTTATAATAATGGACAGATCAAATCCAGACAAAAATCAATAAAGAAACATTAAATGTAAACTGTTTTGGTCAAGGTTTTCTAGAGGAACTCTATCTATATTGATAGAGAGGGTGACTGAAATGTCACAACAATCCATTTGCATACTGGAGAGTCACAGGGACCAGGATTGCAAGCTTAAAGTCTCGCTTGAATGTCACTGGTATGAGTCCAGATTGAAAAGCTGAAGATATTGGAGTGTGATGTCCACAAGCAATGGCAGTAGCACAAGATACAACCACTCAAGCTGATGGAACTTTTCAAATGCAAACTCACTTCCTCCCTTTTCCCCCTATCATTCCATCCTGGCTGCCAGCCTACTGGATGGTGCCACACATAAATAATCAAGATGGTCACCCCCTCACTTTGCTCACATAGAGCCAATTATCTCTGAAAACACCTCACAGATACATTCAGAAGTGTGCTTTATTAATTGACTAAGTGTCTCAATCAAACTTGACAATCATGACTAATGGTCTCATAAACTGCTTTAGACCAAATGGATCATATGTATCATATATATGCATATATATTTGCATATATCATGTATGCAAAATGCATATTTGGAAGAATATAGAACAGATCATATGTTAGGCCATAGAATAAATCTTAGCAGATTTAAGAAATGCAAAATCATACTGAGTATCTTTTCTTACCACAATGGTATGAAACTAGAAGTCAGTAAGAGTAATTTTGAGAAATTATTAACCAATATATGGAAATTAAACATGTTTCCAAACACCAATGAGCTAAAGAATAACTTAAAAGGGAAATTTAAAAATAGCTTGAGACAAATAACAATAGAAACACAACATATCTAAACTTACAGGATGTAGAAAAAGCAGTTTAGAGAAGGAAGCTTACTACAATAAATGCCTTCATTAAAAAAGAAGAAAGATAAAAAACAACCTAATGTTATGTCTCAAGGAACTAGAAGCATAAACTAAGGCCCAAGTTAGTAGAAGGAAGGAAAAAAGATCAGAGCAGAAATAAATAGACTAGAAAAACAATTTTTTAAAAATCAATAAAACTGAGTTACTTTTTAAAAAAGAAGCAAAGTCAACACACTGCTAGATTAACAAAAAAAGAAGGCATTTAAATAAATGAATGAAGAATCTAGAAATCCCAGGAATACCAAGGATCATAGTGACTACTGTGACTTTGTGTATTATTATACACAGTAAGTCTAGAAGAAATGGAAGTATTCCCAGGCAAATTAAACCTACCAAGAGTAAATCATGAAAAAATGAAAACGCAATAGATCAATAATGAATACAGTTGAATTCGTAATAAAGGGTTTTCCATCAAGGAAGATCCCAAGACCTGATGGCCTCACTATTGAATTCTACCAGATATCTTAAGAACTACTTTATTTCTTTGCATTTTCTTTCGTTCTTTCATGACACTTTAAACACAGATGAAAGAACGAAAGAAAACACAAAAAAGGAAGATATCCTATGTTCATAAGTTTAAAAGGTTAATATTTAATAGTTTAAACTTCCACACTACTCCCCAAAGTTATCTACGAATTAAATGCAATCTATCAAAATTCCAATGACTTTTTTTTACAGAACTAGACAGAAAATCCTATAATTCATGCAGAAACAAAAAAGACTCTAAATAGTCAAAGCAATATTGAGCAAGAGGAATGAAGATGGCTGCATCATTACTATCAGACTTCAAAATATACTGCTAAGCTATAATAAAACAATATGGTACTACCTTATGTATAGACAAATAGACTACTCAACCAGAACAGAGGGCCCATAAATAAATTCTTGCATTTAGGATCAACTGTCAGCAAAGATGCCAAGAACACACAATGGCAAAGTACATTCTCTTCAATAAATGCTGCTGGAAAAACTGGATATCTAGACACAAAACAATAAAATTAGAGCATTATCTCACACTACATACAAAATTAGCTACATTGGGCAGGGTAGCATATGCCTGTAATTCCAGATAATGGGAAACTGGAAGAAGGATCAAAATGCAAAGTCAGCATGGACCACTTAGTGAGACTTTCTCAAACAAAGCCAATCAAAATCAATGGGGATGTAGGTCAGTGGTACAGCACTGGCATAGCATGTGCGAAGACAGGCTCAATCCCCAGGACCACAAAAAAGAAAAGAAAAGAAAAGAAAAAAAATACTAAAAATGTATGAAAGCATTGAATATAAGACCTGAAACTATAAAATTAGTAGAAAAATGAATCAATGCATACTATTTGTGGGAATGAAATTAGTATAACCATTATGAAAAATAGTATGAAAGGTCCTCAACAATTAAAATTAGAACTAAAATATGACCTGGCAATTCCACTATTGTGTTTATATCCAAAGGAAATGAAATCAGTATGTCAAAGATGTATCTATTTTCCCATGTTCACTGAAGCACTATTTATAATAGCCAAGATATGTAATCAATTTAAGTGTCCATCTGCTTTCTTTAAACATATAAATAAAATATGGATTATGTTAAAAATGGAATACTGTTTAGCCTGAAAAAAGGAAATCCTGTCATTTGCAGCAACACAGATGAACTGAGAAGACACCATGTTAAGTGAGATAATTCAGGCATATGATCTCACCTGTGAAGGTAAAAATGTCAAACTCATAGAAATAGAGAGTAAAACAGTTACCCAATTCTGAAATGTTGCGGGGAGGAACCAGGGAAGTGTTTGTCAAAGGGCAAAAGAGGTCAGTTTGACAGGAAGAATAAGCTCAAGAGATCAATTCAATTCGATGGTAATGATAGTTAATAGCAATGTATTGTATACTTGAAAATTACTAGGGGAGTAAATTTTAAGTATTCTCACTACAAAAAAGTATATATGATAGCACATGTTAAATAGCTGGATTTGACCATTCCAGAATGTACACATATAAAACATCTTGTTGTACACCATAAACGTATATTATTACATTAGCTTTCTAAAGACTGTGTAATGGGCTGGGGATTTAGCTCAGTGGTTCCACCACCTGCTTCACAAGCACAAGGTCCTGAGTTCGATCCCTGGTACTAATGAATGAATAAATAAATAAATAAAGACTGTGTTACAATTAAACATAACCCTCTATTTTGAAAAGAATTATGCTGCATTAACTTAAAATTTCTTAAAATGAGACCTCTAGACAACTGAGTACTTCAAAGCACTAAGAATGTTTTGTATCTTGCTAAATATGAAAAAAGATTCATATAAAACCTGAGGGTTGCTTTGTATGAGTAGAAGGCAATTTAAAAATAACAGACTTACAAGAAAAACAAATCTTAATAACCAAAATACACAGCATTGTTTTTTATGGTCCCCATGTGAAAACGTTGAAAGCTGTCAAGGTACGTCAGAAGTTTGCAGGAAATGAGCCCATAGTAAGTCTCAAACAGTGAACATTTTTTCCCATCATTAATTTCCTTCCATGCCAAGAGCATTTCAGCATCGATAATTTCTGAGGATGTAAAAATGAATTTATAGCAACATCTGTTGTATCTAATATGCCTTTTCCCAGAAAACCTTGAACTGTGGATAGGTTTAAGGCCAATGGTCTTTGCACAAATTCCTACAAACACGTCAGCAGGTACCATAATGGGTACTTCTTGAAAAACCACATACATCATCCGGGCCACATCTTGGGACATTATAAAAGCCTCACCACTGCAATAATCTGGGTAGTATGTTTCTGGGTACTCAGAAAGGGAGACAAATTCTTGGCTGTGAAGGTCTCTGCTGGGTGTATCTTGATGGATAACTCTTCCTACATAAATATCTTCAAGGTGTCCTTTCAGATTAAGAAGATAGTCTACCAAGGTTGGTAGATTGACAAACATCTCTTCATCAACCTTGAGAATGAATAGGGCATTAGGGCAAAAAGTCACAGCCCACTGAGTCATGGCAATGATCTTTACGGTCTGGTTCTCAGAACCATCCAAAAAGATGCCTTCAATTATGTCATTATTCTCATGGGATTCTTTGTCTATCTCTTTCTGAGTAGCTACCAAGGCAGGCATTCCCAAAGCAAACAGTGTAAGAATGACATGCCCTTGGACACTAGTTACATTGCCCCAGGTTTTCCTAATGAGGTCCCGTCTTCTTCCATTTTCTGGGCTACTGAAGATAAGAGAGAGCAAAAAAATATGTTTCTCTTTGCACACCTCCGATTGGCTGAGGACATAATATTCAGAGGGATTACTTTGTACTGGTTCCATGTTCAATTTTCTTGCCCTTTCCTTAACTTCAAGAACTTTCATAGCTACAGGAGGCAGAGAATGCAAAAAGTATTCTTCCACAAATTCACCCCCAAAAAGCAAGGCATGAAATAGTATGACATTAAACAGAATGAAACACCACTGGTGAGTCCGAAGTCTGCAGAATGTCACCTAAATAAGAAAAGGACACATGATCGTTAGTGTGGTCTCCACTCCCATCTTTCCACACAGTGAGCCCTCTGTGGACTTCATAAAGCACTCAGCAGTACACTCTAGGTGTTGATTATTTATTATTATCTGTCTATTGTACTGGATTGTGGTCTCCTGTACAGTAGGCATCATATTTCTTTCTTCTTCAGTGCTCCATGCCCAGTATTTGGTACAAAGTGGACACTGCACAAAATGTTAGTTGCACTCTTCCTTGTTCTGATGGAAGCCTACTTACTATATAAAAGACACTGTGTTAGAAACTTAAGATATAAAGAGGAATCAGGAATTGACACATAGATATTACATAATAAGTAGTATCATCAAAGTACAAACCTATTGGAAAATACATGTTCTTTCTTTGAAAGGAAGCACTTAGATCTAATTGAATGGAAGCACTTCTCTAATTACGAAGGTCAAGGACTATTTTTCCATGAGGTGGCTGCTTTTGCTGGTCAGCACACACAGGCTATTATCAAACATTTATGTTCTTCTAGTATGACTTTCCAATTTAATCTAACACCAAATCAGAGTATGTTTGGACAATGTCTCCTAATCCATCTGAAATGTCTGTCAACATGGGCAGATTTCTGTGACCAGCATAATTAATACCTATTCAAAGATCTAGGATGGACCTGTGCCAAGCTTACTCACAAAGGAGGTAAAAACTTTTCATCTGGAAAGGAAATATGCAGAACTGTAATATAGCAAAACTAAGAAACAATAAAGGAATTAAATCTCTGTTCATTAGATCTTTGTTCAACAAAGCCTCTCATAATTATAGTTACCTCTTATTCATAACTTCCTGTGTACCAGATGCTGTGCTAAACACTACAACTTAGCTCATTTAGTCCTGGTAAAATCCCTTCCAGATATCTTCAACATAAAGCTGAGCAGCTGAGTAGTTTAATAATTTGCCCAAGAGCACGCAGTGGTTAAAGCATTGGGTTAAGGCCATGATGTGAATTAGAATCTGTCACTGATTCTAAAGCTCACACTGAAGCATTGGAGAAATCCGGAGTCCTATGTTTCTTTGTCTAGTCCACTGAATATGATAGAAATAAAACAGACTCCTATAATTATAATCTGAATTCCTTTCCATTTTCTCAGTGCTGATAATTTACATATAGAAGAAACTTAGCTTCCTCAAAGCCTGTTTTAGAAGATAGCAAATGCTTCGGAGATTGGCAGAAACTTACCTGCATATTGTCTGTGAGCAATTTCTGGGCTTTGGAAGTTACTGAATCCAGATGCCAAGTTATGCCCAAACGTATCTCAGGATCACTCCCGTCTAATAGCATCAGCAGTACAGTGTTTTGCATCTCAAACATCAAGGATAAGGTTTCTTGCCAATCAACCTGAGCTTTTGTCCCAGAATACCTGATTACTGTGTAGGAGTGAGTGCTGATAATGTTACAGCTAGAGTGAATCCAGAACAAAGAATAGAAAAGGCAAACTTCTTCAGCTGCTTTCAGCCTTGGTATATCATCAAACTGACCCTTGAATTCACGTCGAGTTCCTGGCAAAGTATATGTGGGAGTTTGAAGAACAGTCACTCATATAATCTTTCCACAGCATCATCACTCAAGGAGAAATATTGTACAGTGTTTTTTGGAGTGCATCTCAAGAAGCTAAACAAATGAACTAATATCTATTCCTGTTACCTGCACATATTAAAACTGTTCTATACATCAAACAATACTTGTCAAAATACATTTTGATTTTTGTCTTCTCAAGGAAATATCATATAGTGAGACTGGTGTATATCTCATTGGGAAAGATTCTGAATATCTGGTATATGCTGTGCAAGAACTTTACTAAATCAATTAGAAGTCATGAAACTACCTCTTTCCAGAAAATTTATCCTCAAATAAGAAATACAGATTCTCCTCCTTTAATGACCAAGGTACATTTCTTTGACTAAGTCATTAAATGAATTGGTCACTAAATGTGAAATTGTATACAGTATGCATATTATAAAATTCAAAACAAAGAAATGGACAAAGGAAACTCCAACTTGATGACTTTGCTTTTATTTTTATAACTCGTGCAGTACTGTAATATATAACAACATAAACCTACAGTACTGTAAAGTACAATCAGCAAAAATTACAGTGCCACATAAACAAGATGTACTGTACAAAAAAAGACATTGAGGTGGTATCAACAAGATGTACAGAACTGTACAACAACAACAACAACAAAAAGCCCCTAAGTCTAAGCGGTGGGTCATAAGTTGGAACAGCATGCCTCAGACATAAGCCCAAATAGTCACTAAACAGGTAGGTCATTAAATAAGGAATATCTGTATTACACATTATATTATCAAAATAGTTCAGTGAAAATGATTCATTCTTCTTAAGAACACATCTCTCCAATAACCTTTAAGATAAAATATAGTGGCCACCAATAGATCATCACATCAGTGGAGTTCAGGCAATAATGATCTCTCACATGTCAAAAAGGTAAGGATGAAAATTATGCAGAAAAATCCAGGATATCTTGTGATATGGCAGTGACATAGAAAGTGCTCATCAATCATAATTGCAAAACAGATGCAATCCAGATATGATCTTTAGCAAATAAATAAAGCATACACCCCTCTATTTCCTCACATGGCCTTTCCTGGCATCTTAGGAGCTCCCATGAATGCTTCAAGGTTACACTGATCACACAGTTGATATTACTGGAATCTGTTTTGAATGTGCAGCTTTGCCTATTAATGAGGGAGCTCCTGCAGGTCATTGAAAGGGACCAGTGAAACTAAAATACTACTAATAAGATACCACAGAACCACAAAACTGCTTGACTCTGTAAAAACCATCAGAAATGCCAAATATCCTTGACAGTGAAATTGGCACTAATGGAGCCACTGCTCTGCCTGCCTCTGCAATAAATACCTTGGAGGATAGAAAGACATAAAGTATATGGTAAAGGAGCTTACCAGCCAGGAGTGTAAGACAAAAATTAAACATGTAAAACAATCACAGAGCCACAAATAATAGCAATAGTTGTTCAGTCATTTTCTGTGGTTCGGAAGTGTATATTTAACCCTTGAGAAAACGCTTTGCACTCATACGATATGAGACATTTATATACATCAAAAATTTTCAAAGATAACATCACCTCTGCAGAGTTTGTTTATATCTGAGAATTTATTTAACTCCAAATTAATCAGTTTTATTACCACCTGAAGGACTGTTGGAAGCAAACAGTGCTTCGAAGTGAGCCAAATAAAAAGAGTGCACTGATACATTTTTCTAGCTCTTTGACATAGCTATTCTGCCTGATACAGCTGTTCTGTATCATATGTGATAAACAGGTCTACTAAGGCTGTTCCAAATCACTCCCTTCTACATCAAAACAGGAAAACCATATATTTTGTGATTATAGAGGCAAAAAAGCAACCCATATGACATTGCTTTTTGGCCTTAATATCCAAAAAAATGACAGGTAGCTTATTTTTCTCTAGTATCAGTCACTATAGAAATAATATATACTTTGAAAGCGTTTTTATTTTCATGCATGCTGTGTTTATTTACACAACATGCTTAGTGAATGTGCCGAACATAGAATAGGCTACAGGCATTCTTCACTTAGCCCAGTTCTGTTCTTGTAACTAGGTCATTAAATGAATTAGTGGCTAAATGAGGAATTGTATTATGGCATGTATATTACAATATACAGAACAGAGAAATGATCAAAGGGAACTCCAACTTGATGACTGCTTTTATTTGCCTAACTCTCACATGCCGAAATGCAATGTATAATGGAACATAAAACTACAGTATTGTATAAACAAGGAGTACTGTAAAAAAAGACATTGAGGCCATATCAACATGATGTACAGAACTGTACAAAAAAGGAAAAGATGGGTCTTACGCCTGAGCACCAGGTTGTAAGTCTGAACAGCATACCTTGGTCATAAGCCCTAATAGTCACCAAACAGGTAAGTTGTTAAATAAGGAATATCTGTCATATAGTTCATTTTCGCTTGAACTGAAGAAACTAAGCAGTTGATGTTACTAGTTTTTGTTTTGTTTTTTGCTTTTCTGAGCATGGAGGAATTATTCTAAATACATATCTACTGGCAATTTAGTTTAAGACAAGAAACAACATTATGTTTTCACGTTCCTGTCATCACAGAATCCTTCTATTTTCATTCAAAGTTATATTTTTATGTTGTTTTCCACACAATGATCTTCCTATGTGCCAAACACAGGAGGTTGGTAGTTACTGTCCCCTTTTGGCGAGGAGTAACTTCTCACACTTAAAGATGGCTATTTTCTTTTTTCTTTCTCTCCACCTTGCTTTCTTCTCAGCAATGGGGATTGAACCCTGAGTCTTCACACTGAGCTATTTCCTCAGCCCCTTTTTTTATTTTATTTAGAGACAAGGTCTTGCTAAGTCACTAAATTACTCAAGTTGGACTGAAATTGGTGATTGTCATGACTCAGCCTCCCAGATGGGTGGGATTACCAGTATGTGCCACTTGGTCTGGTTTACAGGTAGCTATGTTTTCTGAACAATCATCCATGAAAGCTTGGAAATTTTTATCAAATGAGATTGGCTAAGCTAAAAATTTCAAATGAAAAGAAATTATTACATATACTAACCATTATGTGAGCATTGAGACATGAATTATATTTTCCACTTTTTTACAGACATACAGTTTCCTCCTGGGTCTTTTCTGACCTCAAACTTACATAGTTGTATCTTTGTTTTTGAGACATCCATACAATACTACCCTTGGAGCAGCTCCATCTGGGAGAATTCAAACAATACCATCCTTGGAGCAATTCCCTTTGGAATTTTCAGTTTGATTTATCATACTTATACTCTACTGGGGTTGAGGCCATTTGCAGCAGAGATAATTCTCGCTTGGTTTTCTTGATTGCCTTTCCTTTCATAGAGGTAGTAGATGTATCCAACTCTTCTTAAGTGTCTTAAATGTCACGAGTCACTCTTTGGCTTAGAAACTTACAAGTGTTTGTTAGATGGGCCCCTGGAGGTCCCCCAAAGTGGAAATACCATGGAGCACAGAAAAATAATTTTGAAGACACGCTAGTGAAGGGCGCAAAGCAGTTTATTAAGCCAAATTTGAACAGTACACACTAAAAGAGAATGAAGTGTGGGCCCTTGAGAGAGGTGCATTATAGTGCTATTATAGTGGTTATATTATGGTTTGGGGGTTTTATGTGGCCTTGGGGGTATCCTCAAGATGAGCAAGCTAGGCTGTGTGTTCTTTTTATCAGGTTTCCCATATGGGGAACGGGCTATGTTGGAATGCAAACTGTTTACACGTGTTTGAAGCTGAGATACGTTCCCTGCTTTCTGTGGTAGGAGTGTAATTTACAAGTGACAAGCATGATTCCAGGTTTACTGTGCCTGTAAGACCATTAAGAAATCTTTTTCTTTTGTTTTCCTTCCTTCCTTCCTTTTCTTTCTTTCCTCCTTTCTTCTTTCCATCCCTTCCGTCCTTTCTACATTTTCTGGAAGGGAATAAAGCTTAAAACGTGTGTCTTGAAGTTGCAGTTTTTCTTAAAAGTGCAATTTTAAAATTATGATTTTTAGCTTTTTTTTTCTACCTAGCTTTATTTTTTTCTATCCTACCTCTTGATGGCTTCCTGTTGCCTACCAAATCAAATTTGCTGCCTTGAGACTTTACTTTGAGGACCTTATATTTAACTTCCTTCTTGCACAATTTTTATTTATTTCCTATGTTTCAAATACCCTACATGAAGTCAGGATTCTTAGCTGTGTTCTACCTCTAACTGGACATGTGACTCTCTTATTGTCTGTATTGTGTGCTATGCCTATATAATTGGATTATTCTGTCCAATATGGTAGCCATAACCACACGCAGCTCTATAAATTTACATTCACTAAAATTAAAATTAAAACTTTAGCTCCTCAGTTACATTAGGCATTTTTCAAGTATTCAGTAGCTACAAGAGGATAGTGACGATCTTAACAGCACCCAGAGAATGTTTCCATCATTGCTGAGGATCCTGATGGACAGTGCTGTATAAACACATATGAATGCAGATTATGGGCCTACAAACATACAAAGATACTTGTGCTTTCAAGTTGGTTTGGGCCAGGCATGGTGGCACATGACCAATCCCAGCACTGGGAAGGCGGAGGCAGGAGGATCACTGCGAGTTTAATGCCAGCCTTGGCTACATAGTGAGTGCAAGACCAGCTTGAACTACACAGTGAGACCTTGTCTCAAAAAACAAACAAGCAAATAAACGAAAGTCAAGTTGGTTTGGGTTGAGATCCTATGATAGTCAGTTACTATGACCTTAGGCAAGATACTTAAACCTCTTGTGACTGTTTCATCTCTAAATATGGGGCTAACAATAGTAACTACTTTGTAATACTGTTTTGGAAAATGAGGGAGAGGGTACTTAGATAAAGTGTTTCACAATGTGTAGCAGTTGGTGCAGTTTTAGTCTTTGACACTAAAAGACTTGCATGCCTCAGTCGTCAAGCCTCACAACAATGGTAATAGTTATGCCAATGAGGAAAATAAAGTGTCAGAGGTTAAGTACCGTAAACATATCCCATATGTAGTATAGATTCAAATTACCTGACTGCAGCACACCATGCTTCATTCCTCTCCTTAACACTTACGACTTGTCGTATATCTTATCTGTCTTCCTCCTTTCCAGAGGTGTAGACCCCAGGTAGTCGGGAAATTTTGTTTTGTTTACTAAACCACCTCCTAGAACAATGTTTGGGATATAATAGGTGTTCAGGGGATTGTTTGAATTTGGCCCTATCTCAACCTCTCTAGCCATAGCTACCTCTTTTCTCAGAAGTGTGAATAAGAAAAACTGCCGCTGAGGTAGTGCAAGACAAAACTGAGTGAGGTTTACAAGCACTCTGGGAAAATAAAAAAAATATGTCACTAAAGGACATTTTGGTGAGGTGCCAGCAGTAGTAAGTTTAGAGAGGGTTACACTACACGGTCGTTTCCTACTCTCCCCGTTTCCTTCCCACCTGCACCTCCGGGTGGACGCCGGAAGCGCAGCCGCTTCCGCCGGGGGCCGCGGGGCGGTGGGACGCGCGGAGATGACGCAGGCAGCACCGGAAGCCGCTCCCCAGTGAGGCTGCGGACCCGGAGCGGCGGCCGCAGGTCCAGGTTTGTATATTAGGCGGTTCTTGCCGCGGATTGCGGGGCTTTGGGGCGCCCGTGTCTTTGCCGACTAATGCTTCAGGCTGTCCTTCTCTCCCTGCAGGCGCCATGGCTGCAGAGCGGACCCGGCCGCTGCGAGGCTCTGGCGGCCCAAGCGCCCCTAGTCGGTGTGAGCCCGGCGCGAGGTCCCGGGCCCCGGGGCGCTCGCTCAGGTCAGTGCCCCGCGGATCACGGCTCCGGGGGCAGGGTTCCTGGGAACGACGAACGGGCTAAGGAATCTGGAGTACGTTTTAGGGAAAGGAAAATTAGGTTTCGGAGTTCCTGCTACCTTGTTTCTGCCTCCCGGTGCCTGTTTTCTTAACTGTGAAATGAGTTAACAATGATGTCCCTGGGCTACCTGGAGTGTAAAAGATGGTGAAGCGCTGGGAGGTGGTTTATAAGTACAGAGCGTTGTAATAATGTGAGGGAGCGCGCCATAATTGTGGGTATGCCATGGAAACAGGTGTGTATGTGAGGTGCGGTTTGAAAATAAAAACAAGGATAACAATATTAATCCTAAATAATAACAACTAGCATTTGTTGTAGACGTACAGAGTGCCGAGTACTGTGCTAAACGCTTTGTGTGTATTCTAGCTTTTACAAAACCCCTAGTAAGTAATGCTGTTTGTGGCTACATTTTACAAGTAAGGAAGCTGGTCTTGAGATGGGTGAAGTGATTTGGCCAAGGTCACCCAGCAGCAAGGGGAGTTGCAGAGCTGATATTTTATAAACCTTTATATTTTAAAACTTTTAAGACTCTACCTTAGAACTAACGGCTTTTAAATAGGTACTGGACCCACAAGGCTTTAAATTTAAAATGGTATGCAATTAAAAAGGCATCTCCTCTCCTTTTTTCTCAGCTCTCCAGTTCTCTCTGGAAGCTGCCAGTGTTGTAAGTTTCTTAAATACTCAAAATATATTCTATGCATATATAAGCTTTATAGGTCTACATACATTTTCAAAGCTTGTGTACATTATAGCTGGTTGTGCTTACTGTGAAAAGGTGGGAGATGACACTCCTTTATACCAATAAAAGATGTCTGGCTTTCATTCTTGACTAGGCCAGGTCCTGGTGGAGCAGCCTGGGAAACACAGTTTCACCTGAAATGCCCTATCTCTAATAAGATCTAGGAATATAGGTTTTGTTTTGCTTTGGAAGGGTGAGGGACTGGACAAGATGTTGAACATACTGTTCTCTGTGCATCTCTGGGAAAGCCACTCCACTTCTTGGGTTATACATTTCCTTGTTAGTAAAGGACAGTAGTACTGATATGTTCCGGGAGCTTGTGAAGATCAAATGAGCTAATGTTTATGGGTAGTACTTTAGTCTTTAAAACCAGTATAAATGTGACAGCTGCCTAAAGGAACATAGGGGAGTCGGTGGTAGAACCAGAGACCAAGCCCAAACACTCATCTCTTAATTTGGGAATCTTTTCATGCCACACATACCCTTTGTGATTGTTAATATCAAAGTTTTCAGGTGGGCTTAAAAAAGAGCAAGGCAGCAGAGGATATGAGCAGGGTAGAGAGAAAAGACGTCTTTGCAAGGAGATCCTCAAGCCATTGATTGTCCTTAATTAAAAAAACCCAGTAAATTTGGTTCTTGAGTTTTTCTTCCAGGTATTAAGAGAAATTGTAAGATGATAAAGTTGAAAGGTATGTTAGTGGCCATGTCCATTCCAGCCTCAGTACCACACAAAGGATTCCTGCCAGGTTTCATAATAATGAAATTAATAGTGTTGAGTTATCCTAAACTGGCTCCACATGTCCCTGCTTTATTTCTCATTCTCACCCTCAGAAATAGAGGTTAGTTGAACATTCCTATGATAATATAGGAAGTGGCTAAATAAAAAATTTGAGTTGAAAGTGTTTTCGTTTGTCCACACTCTACCTCTTGTGCAGGTATCCTGGTTATTCACAGTAGTGGGAAGCCTACTACTTTGGAAGTGACTAGTCCATTTTTGGAAAGCTTTGATGACTTCAAAGCTCATCCTCCTGTTGAATTGAAGTTGTACTTCCTGTGTTTTTCCCTGGGGACTTTGTGCTACTGTTACGTGATAATGTTAGAGCCTCTCTATAAGAGTTCATTTTAAACCTGTGACCTTAGGAAAGTCCGCCCAGAGTTGACTGTTTGAGAAAAGTAAAACTTGGTGTATTTTAAATAATATATTCTTGGACTGGGGATTTAGCTCAGTGCTGCTGTGCCTGCCTTGTAAACACGAGGTCTTGAGTTCAATCCCCAGTACCACAAAATACGTACATACATACATACATTTTGCAGAGTTAATGAGAATTTATTTATTTATTTATTTTTCCTGGTGCTGGAAATTGAACTCAGGACCTTTTGCTTTTCAGGCAGGTGCAGCACCACTGAGCTACATCCCTGTTTCTCTTATTTATTTTTTAATGCCTTTTTCAGCTGGTTGTGGTATTACACAACTGTAATCCTAGTTACTTGAGAAGCTGAGGCCAGAGGATCACAAGTTTGAGGCTAGCCTGATTAACTTAATGAGACTCTCTCAAAATATAAAAAAAATGAGCTGGGATGTATTGTTCAGTGGTAGAGTAACCCTGAGCTCAATACCCAGTACTTGGGGAAGGATGTTTTTCATAACAATCAGAGATAAAGAATTAGAAGACAGCCTCCTAAAAGGAGTTGACCATCTTACAGGACAATCTCTAATGGACAAGCTGGACAAAAAAAAATTTAGAGTAAAAATATATAAATCTCAGAAATGATTAGGTTTTTAAAAGGCGCTTACTGGAAAGCTTGTGGGCAAATCAGTTTGTCCTGTTTAACAGTATCTTTTAGCTGTATATTGATGAGAGCTTGAAAATATTTTATTGGGCATACTAAATTTGCATTGTGACCATTTAATTAACTCAGCTCATTTGAATGTAAGCATTTCAATAACAGGTGTGTGTCTGTAATGGAGGAAGTCCCTCCATACTTTTCCCTGTTTAAAAAAAAAAATCCAGAACTTTTTCTTTCTGGTACTGGGAATTGAACTCAGGACTCTGTGCATGTTAGGCAAATGCTCTGCCACTGACCTACATTTATAATTTACACATTCTTTTTGATTGACTGATACTTTTTTAATTAATTGTGACATTGTGTGGATACCTACAGAAAAGAATTGTCATATGAATTATTATTCTTAAAAGTAGATAATCTTAGGTACTCAAGAAGCTGATGCAGGAAGATCACAAGTTTGAGCCCAGCTAGGACTACTTACAAAGACCCTGTCTCAAAAAAAAGGGGGCAGAGGCTGATGATCTAACAAAGGGGTAGAGTACTCCTGGGTTCAGCTACTAGTGCCCCAAAAAGAAGAGAGAGAAATTTTCCAGAAATGTTACAGAGGATCACTAATATACAGAGGAAGGAGGGGTTTTGTTATCTTGTGATAAAGTGATAAAACTTTGTGTGAACTCATTAGTTTTTGGCAGCCAAGTAAATCTTTCATATAAATTAATTTGTCCTCTAGTCCTTTGATTGGGGAATAGTATCTTTATTTTTTTTTTCAGCTTTAATTGAGTTTATTGGTACATTTTAGGGATACAGTACAGTTACATTCATTGTTGGGAATTTGTACCTCTACATGACAAGTTTTGGTTCTCATTTTTCCCCCTTGTCCCTGCCCTCCCTTCACCCTCTCCTCCCCTCACCATCTACAAACACTTTATTTCCATCTTTTCGTTATCTCACATTTTTTTCTTTTCCCTTATTACCCTTCCCCTACCCATCCCACCTTCCCTACACCTTTAGCTCCTTTCTTCCCATTTCTAAATGTCAGTAATCTTACTAGGATCTTCTGTATTATTGCAGATTAGGGAATAGTATCTTGAAGTCCAATCAGTTTCAGAAATCAGAATTTTAGACAATACATAATGTGATTGGAAGGTCTGGGTGCTTCTCTTAATCATATTTTTTTGTATGTTTGAGAATGTTTTTGCCAAATTTGATATTGGAAATTTGTCATTTGATACTTTACATTAGCAAAGTTGGAAGATGATAGCTTTTGTGTAGGTCTGATGTAGATGACACATCTGGAAAGAAATATATTTTTCTCTCCTATGTTAATCGGGACATAAACCTTTAAAATTCGACAGCAGTCTTGTAAGGAACTAAGTAATCAGATTAGAAGAAAATATATATTTTTAAAATGGAAATGTTTTTAAACATATGAAAATAAAGAGAATAATAAACCTGTTTACCTTTACTGTCATTACCATCTATCAATACATGACCAGTCTTGGAATAAAGTTTTTTTTTTTTTTTTAATGGTTTGATTGATTATTCTCTTTCCATTAGTTTGGTTTCCATTGTGAAGAGTCAGTTGACACCTGTGTATACAAATGTGGGAAACTTTAAAATTCTTTTGTTGCAGTTAGCAAGTAGAGCAATTTGGCATTTCTTCTAGAGGGGAAAGTGGTACAGTTAGAAGAGAGTCAGGTCTTATCACCAGGTTGTGGTTGTTACTGACTTTAGAAGAGACACTTTAGTATACAGATCTTGAAAGCACGGGCTTCCAGTCGGTTTCACTATTTCTCTAGCTCTGTGAGTATAGGCAAATCATTTTCCTTCTTTGACCTGTAGTTTCCTCATCTATAAAGTGAAGATGATACCATTTTTAGTGTTTTGTGTGCATTGGAATTATTGTGGCTTTTTTGTTGTTGTTATTGTTTTGAGATGGAGTCTTTTCTGTTGCCCAGGCTGTCCTCAAACTCATGATCCTTATGCCTCAGCCTCACAGATAGGAGAATTACAAGCAATGTCCCACCACAGCCTGCAGCATCAGTATTAGTAATTTGCTTTATTAGTGCAGCCTTCCAAGATCATCATGGCTCTCCCGGGCACATGGTTAAGAGTTAACATTAGCTCATGTCAAGCTTATAAAAAGAGACTTTGTAAGCCCTTTGATAATTGATGTTTAAACAGGCAGTACCTTCAACGAGGTGGAAGAACCAGAATATCTGAGACACATAACTTATTACAGCTGCTCATTTTCCCTCTTTAGATGTATTTGCCCAAACACCTGTTACAAAATCAAGGAGTCAGTTCTGTGTTTTTGTGACAGGTCAAGTTGTGCTTAACACAGTAACTAATGTCTCAGGTTACTGCTCCAGATAGTAGCTTTTTGGTTCTCAAAAAGAGAGATGCTGGTGCTTGCTTTTGTGATTTTGATGCCCAAAGAAAGAGTACTAAGAAATTCACCAAGTAAGAAGTTTTAGAATAGTTTTGATAGCAGAGAGTATATTATAGAATACAGTTTCATCATGAATAAAGGACTGACTACTTTGCAAATATTTTACTGTGACAGTGCATGTAGCATATACTAGACTTTAAAAGGAACAAGTTGCACGTGCCAGTTTTATTCTGATTTAGATTTCAGAAATTGTGATTAAAGTATGTTGTCTCAAATGTATTTTCTTTTGTGTGCATGGAAATGGTTCAGATAAATATATAGTGTATTAACTGTAAAGTTGTAATGTAGCAACTAAGCATAAAGTTGTAATGCTGAATTTTTTACACTAATTTTTAATACTTCATTTGTTAGCAGTCTTGCTTGAATGGTCTTTTTGAGCAGAACTAATACAATATTTTGATGTGCCACAGGTAAATTTTTCCATAACCTTATGGAGAGAAAGGACTTTGAGACATGGCTTGATAACATTTCTGTTACATTTCTTTCTCTGACGGACTTGCAGAAAAATGAAACTCTGGATCACCTGATTAGTCTGAGTGGGGCAGTCCAGCTCAGGCATCTCTCCAATAACCTAGAGACTCTCCTCAAGCGGGACTTCCTCAAACTCCTTCCCCTGGAGCTCAGTTTTTATTTGTTAAAATGGCTCGATCCTCAGACTTTACTCACATGCTGCCTCGTCTCTAAACAGTGGAATAAGGTGATAAGTGCCTGTACAGAGGTGTGGCAGACTGCCTGTAAAAATTTGGGCTGGCAGATAGATGATTCTGTTCAGGACGCTTTGCACTGGAAGAAGGTTTATTTGAAGGCTATTTTGAGGATGAAGCAACTGGAGGACCATGAAGCCTTTGAGACCTCATCATTAATTGGACACAGTGCCAGAGTGTATGCACTTTACTACAAAGATGGACTTCTCTGTACAGGTAAGAGATGCTGGAACTCATTTTTATTTTTTTGTATTGTGCTTTTTTGAGAATACAGTGTCTTACTGTGTGATTCAGGTTGGCCTTAAACTCACTATGTAGTCCAGAATGGCCTCAAACACTTGGCAGTCCTTCTGCCTCAGCTTCCTATGTGCTGAGATTACAGGTGTGTGACATGTGCTTGGCTGGTTTTTGTTTTTCTTCGCTTGCTTGTTATCTTCTACTTGAAACGATTTCCCCATGTCCCTTATCCTTTCTTTCTACAGAAGACAGCCACTTTTATGAGGTTTTATGAGAAAAACACTTTAGACATTCATTTAGGCGTGATGTTAATCAGAAAGCTGTAGATTACTTTTTCATTTATTTTTGATTTCTTAGGTGGTAGTGGGGATTTTAAACCCAGGGTCTTCATAATGAGCCACATCACCAGCCTTTTTTATTCTTATTTTTCAGTTTGAGACAGATTCTCACTAATTGCCCAGACTGGGCTTGAACTTTCTATTCTTTTTTTTTTTTTTTTTTCTCAGCCTTCCAGCATGTACCAACCACTATACCTGGCTTTATCAGTGATTGGTTTTATTTTTTTTTTTGGGGGGGGAACTTTTTAAAAAAGGCATCTGTAGCCCTAGCAAATTGCTAGATCATTTTGCATGAATTACTTAAACTGTTTATTTTTCTCTAAAATGTGTAAAAGGAAGTATCCCTTCCTTCATCTAAAATTCTGTGATTCTGAGAATTGGAAGTTGAGAACGAATGCATGGGAATGAAGACACTTGATTTTTAAATTAGTTAAATGATTTTATATAAATAGAATCATTAAAATTAAGAATTGTGTATTACTGTTGAGTTATAACGGATATGTTTCTACAAGTGGTTGCAATCCATCTCACATTTTAGACAACACTTTGATAGGCATTGTAAGTAATTCTTAGGCAGTGTTCACAATTGCTGTAGGCAGTTCTTATCAACAATCTCTGCTTATGTCATATATAAAGATTGTTGGTTCTTTTATCACCCAAGAAAACTCAGTAACATTTGTGTATTGACTTTATGTAGTTGTAACTTTTAATAAGTATAAAGTGTACCTTTGTGTAAAAGAATGATATATCATCATCAGCCTTTTCCATTAGTGCATTTTCAGATTTGTTTTTTGTTTTTTATAAATGTCTTTGTTTACTTTTTCTCTTTAATTATTTGGGGCAGAAGCTATAAAGTAGAGTTATCATATCTAGAAGTTTGAATGATTTTATACCCCTACTTACTATCCTTTGCAATACAGCAGTGCTAAATAACTTGTTTCTGCTTTAGTTTTAGTAGAATATTGATTGATTGGTTGATTGAGTTACTGAGGGTTAAACTCAGAGCCTCTTGCCTGGTACTCAATTTAAATGTTTTTAATAGTTAAGTGATATATAATTGCTGAAGATTGTTTTAAAATTGCACTTCTTTATTAAAGATGTGTATTTTCCCACATGATACTACCTAAAATGCTAGATATTTTGTCAGTTTGATAAATAGACATTTTATTTAAGGCATTTTGTGGTTCATTTTGTCATCCTGAGTTATTTTATGCTACATTTATTTTCCCTGTCTCATCTGCTGGATTATTTGAACAAAAACATTCATTCTTCTGTACTTTGATGTACTTTCCCAGTTGTAGTGATGGCTTTCCCATGTCCTTTTTGCCTCGTGATGTGTTGCAGACATTTTTTTAAAGAGTAAGATGCAGTATTACCTTGGAGCTCATTCCCACTTAGGTAAATATTGGTCGTTGACTCATTATTTTCACAACCATCTACTATAGCTCTTTAAAATTTTTTTCCTCTCATTATACCTTACCTTTGAAATGTAATAAAACCTTAATTACATGAAGCAGAAGCAAATGGGTAACAGTTATTGAATTCTCTAACTACAGTACTCAGTAAAATCTGTGATTAGTGGACCCTATCCTACATTTTAAAAAGAATAATTATTTAATTAGTTGGGGTTGACCTCAGGGCTTTGTGCAGGCTAGACGGGTGTTCAGCCACAGAGCTACATCTCTAGCACCCTTATCCTGCAGATAAAGATTAATGTCTAAGTGAATCTGTATATTATGTTATTTTAAATCTGATTAGGTTAGCAGATTGAAAATTATGCAGTGGTGAGGTGGTCAGACGTCCACACCCAAAGCAGTATGCTGGCGACTTAAAGCCTGCTGCTTGTATCATCCCCGTGTGCTGGCAATGCTTATGTCATTGTAAAATAAATATGATTTAAAAAGAGAAAGAAAATTATGTATTGGCTGTTGAAAATGACCTAAAGTATTAATGTTTTTAACAACAGCATCCGTGGAACTTCACTAGCGAGCAGAGTACTTATTACAGAATTGTTTCGTGTCATCTGGTTTCTTTAGAATTTGAATTTTCAGTAGAATTGAATTGTGAAATTCTAAATTTGGCAAATAAGCTTGGGGTGACTCAGATTAGCACCTTGAACAAGTAATGAGTGTCACCAGTGAGATTGATGGATAATATAATGGTGTAGATTGACATAGTTATCTTTCTGTTCTGCAGTTTATTTTTGAAATGGTAAGAAGGAAGCTAGCATGCTTTGTGCTGTTTAGTAGATATTTATTTGTGAAGTGCCTACTAATAGAAGACAATATGAGAGCATACATGGAAGAGCAGTTCTTCCAAGAATATATCCACTGGGATCAGTGAGGTGATCTGACTTAGGTAAAAATCTCCATGTGGATGGACTGTGGCATATTAGAGAATACCTGCCTTCCTAAACAATATAGACTTCATTGTAGTGAATTATTACCACATATGATTTAGGCGTAGAGTGGCCAAATCTTACTTTTCAAGAGAAGCCTCAAATCTAGATTTATGTGAAGTACTCGGATTTTTAAGTATTACACAGATTTTTGAAATGTGATTGGGTCATATGCAGCTGTGAATTCCTTAAGTGTGATCTTTGGCCTATAGTTGATTAAGAAAAACAAGAGCTGTAACAGTTAAAGTGACCGATTTGAGCTGTATGGAAAAAAAAATCATACAGTTCTTCAAAGGGAAGAATAATTCTTGTATTTGGAAAAATTGCACAGTGCTTTTACTGGGGCCAGAAGAATGGGTAGATTTTAGAAGTTTTTTTTTTCTTGGTATGGGGATCGAACTCAGGACTTTGCAGAACCACTGAGCTTAATATCTGGCCCAATTTTAGAGAGATGAGATACAGAGTAAGGATTTTCCAGTAGGCAAAGGCATGGAAGTGCGCATGTAGGAGGAGAATAAAATTCATTTTAGTTAGACTTTTAGACTGTAAGTAGGGCCTTTTATATCAGTTATTTAGACTCTAATCTGAAGAAATAGTTCTGGGCTATATTATGAAGAACATTGAATGCTGGGAACATGAGTTTGAACAGCTTTATAGAAGAAGTAAGAAAGCTATATAGGATTTCTGAGCAGAAAATAAGACCAGGATTAGAGCTTGCTAGTCCAGGTACATCAGTGTTACTTACTTTTGTCAGACTCTTTTACAACATTTTATACTATCTTCTTGTTCTGAATTCATAGAAAGAAATTATGCCTAAATACTGATCCAGAGGAGAAATAAGAGAACTGCAATTTAAAAGAACACATTTAAATATGTAATGCTTAAGTATGATTATGCTGAAAGATAGTGAAGTAGACATGTGTTTACCTGTGTACTGTCATCATGAATGTACGTTAGAAGTGCATGCTGTTTTTGCATCATAGAATAAATGATATAGTTTCACTTAGTGAAAGACTTCCAAAGTTCCCAGCAAAGCAAAGTACATTATTCCTGAATTTATCAGATATGTGCACTGTAGAAAATTCAGTAAATAGTTAAATGTACTTTGCAAAAAAAACTAAAAATAAGCTTCTCTTATGAATGTCCGGCAGAACCTTCAAGAGGTCTTTTTATGTACTGCCTCAAATGTTCCAGAATGTCTAGCCTTCCTAGCCTTTGCCCAGTTGATGCCAATAACATCCCCCATCTGCATCATTGACAACTGAAACCACCTCCATAGATCCTTAAAATATTCTTACAAAGGGGTACCACTCCTTTTGAGACCTGATAGAAGTTTCCCAAACTCTTGAGTTCTAAGTTTTCAAATTAAAGTATTAGCCTATTATAGTGTGGGTCAGGATAAATAGGTCTAGAATGAGGAAAGTGAGAGAAGAAAAAAAAAAAAGCAGTTGAATGTAAGAGTAGCCATTAAAATAGGGTTAACACAATTTGGCAGTGGATTAAATATATGGCAAGAAGTGGGATGTCAGAAATGGGTGAGGTTTTTCATTTTGTATTCTTGATAGTATAGTACTAATGAGACTAGAAAAATGAAAGAATGACTTTTAGAGACTAGATGAAAGTTCAGCTTGGGGATGAGCTAAATTTATTTGCTCATTGTGCTGTCAAACCTTGGATTGCGAGTAACTTGGTCCCCCAAGTGTTCCACAAGATGAGCAAACATTTCTAAGAAATTTAACTTGATAAATGAGTGATGTCTTGCAGTATGAGTAGTACATCATGCTGAATGTCATGTGATCACAACTGCTCTCTCTTTCTCTCAATTGATAAACACGTTCTTTGGAATATGAATGGGATGAATTATTCTTGTAAACCAAGGTTTTATTTTTATATTTAAGTGGAGATTTCCAGTGTTTAGAAATACAGAGTCAAAATTTTAAAGAATACTCGGGTCTAGAGAGAAAGATTTAGAAGTTAGTACCATCACAACTATGCCTGGGGCAGTGAAATTTTAAAAGGAGATTTAGAGATGAAAAACAGTGGAGCCTAGAGTAGATCCTTGATGAGTGTATTTAAAGAGAAAGTGAAAGAAAAAGGGTGATGAAGATTTTCAAGGAGGATGACAGCTGGGTTTAAAGAGGCACTGGTAAATGGCTATTCGGATGGTCAGTAGAGCCTAGTGGCTCAAGAGAGGTGCTTCAGAGTTGAGATCTGCTTCTTCCAGTTAAATATTTAAGATATTTAATATCTGGATGAGATAGTTTGCTCCATTTGGGTTTATGGTTCCTTTTTCTGCCTCTCTGTCACATACCCATCCTGTGTTTTATATATATATATAAAAGTAATGTTTTCATTTTGTTTTCTAAATTGAGATTTTTTCTTTTATGCAGTCTAATAGTCCTCTTTCTGTTAGTCTTTAGTCTTCTTTCTGAACTAGGATTTTTTATTATTGATTACTTTTGTTGGGTCAGTGCAGCAGATGGGATTGGAGGCCTGAAATATAGCCAGGAAGAGAACAGTGGCTTCTGTAGAATTAACAGTTGGGAATTAGACTTGTATCACTATAAAATGAAACTCATTTTATCCCTTTTTAAAAAATATTTCTTTAGGGTTTAAAGGTTTTTTTTTTCTTCAAGCTGTGGTAGAACATATATAATAAAATTTACCACTTTAACCATTCTTAACCGTACGATTCCATGCTATTACTACCTTATAGTATTGTGCAACCACTGGCATAATTTCATCCCAGAATTTGCATCTGAATGCTAAACTGTCCATCTATCCTCAACCTCCAGCCCCTAGCCTGTGGAAACCATCATTCTATTTTCTGTGAAATTAACTCTCTGAGAACCTCATCTGAGGCTTATTTCACTTATCATATTGTCTTCAAGGTTTCTTCCTGTTGTATAGCATGTGACAGAGTTTCAATTCTTTTTTAAGGCTAAGAAATACTTTGTTGTATGTATGGACTGCATTTTATTTATCCTCTCTTTAATTTGGCCTTTTTGCCCCTAGTTTTGTTTCCCTAAACCAGTTTCCATGATACAGCTATAATTGTCTTTCAGAAATGCAGCTAAAAGTTATAAACATCCTCCTGACCCATTTATCCAGCTTGGTTTTGCCTTGTTTCCCAGTCAGACTGAAAACATAATGTTTGTGTCTTATACAGTGCATTTTGTCGTATAATGTAAATAGTTCTTATTTTTTATGACAGTTCAAAAAACTTGTTTATGGAATGTCCCCTAATGCCTGTTTGCATACATTTATGTAATATAGAGGTAAGCAATAGGTACATCAGTAGTTGTAGCCCTTGGATTGGCAAATAATGGACTGTGGGCCATATCCTGTAGAAAAGAGTAATGGCAACAGAGACTGGCTTGCAAAGCCTAATGTATTTACATCAGGATTTTTACAGAAGAGATTTTACTGACCTCTGGTACATACTGTAAAAAAAATTTTTTTTGGACCTGGTTAACTTATTCATCCTTTAAATTGAACTAGTTAATACTTGGAATTTTTTTAAAGACATGAAATCTTTTCTTTAAATATTCCAAATCCTGACTTGAAAATGCAAAAGAGTATAGTTGAGGAGCAGTAATGCCAGCTCCTGAGTCATGTTTCTAGAACACTGGCATGTGGAGGCGTACAGCCATCTCATTGGAGCTTTGTCTGACTCTCTTCATCCCCTTCTATTTGCTGTGCATTTTGGGTTTTTTTCCTTTTTATTGAGTTTATTGGTACAGTCTAGGTCTACAATACAGTTAAATTCATTACTAGGATCCTGTACCTTCACATGACAGGTCTTGTTTCTCATTTTTTCCCCCTTGCCCTCCCTTTACCCCCTCGTCCCCTCCCCATTATGCTGTGCATTTTGTACTACCCACCACTGAGTACACTGAAATTGTTGCTTGCCTTCCCAAATAGACTTAAGTACCATAAGAGCAGGAGCCCTGCCAGGACAGGACTTCTATTAGTATATGTTGAATGAATGAGATCCCTGTTGAACTTGGCGATAAATCAGAACCGAGTTCATATAGGATCTAAAATAATTTCTTTTCTAGTTCCTTAAGAATATAGTTACAGAATGCTCAAGCTGAAGGACCTAAAAAACCATCTGTCCTGATATGCTGTCCAGCACATTAGCCACTAACCCCATGTCACTTTTGAGCTGCAGTTAGTCCAAACTGAGAAATGAAATGCTAGGTACCAGATGTCAGAGACTTGAGGGTGTAAAAATATAAAACATCACACTCATTAATAACTTTCTATATTGATTACATGTTGAAGTGTTACTATTTTTGACATATTGAGTTACAGCATATTGAATTGTCATGCATTTCTTTTTACTTTTTAAAATATAACATTTAAAATTACATGTGTTTCACATAACATTTCTATAGGATAGATAGTACTGTTTTAGAATTGGTTCTCAAAATATTGCTGATGATTGAGAATCACCTGCAAAACTCTAAAGATTATTGGACTTTACCCCATATATTCTGTACTAGAATCTTTGAAATAGGGCTTTGCTTTTGGGTTTTTTTTTTTTATATATATAGGAAAAATATATATATTTTTCACTGTACCACTGAGCCAGACCCCCACACTCCTCTTTAGGTTTTTTTTTTTCCCCCCAGTACCAGGGATCAAACTTGGGACTGTGCACTTTTGAGGCAGGTGGTAACTATGTACGTTTTTTATAAAACTTCCCTAGATGATTTTAATGTCTCATGTACTCATTGTAAACCTGGTCCTACCCCTCATTTTTATAGAGAAGAAAACTGAGTCCTGATTAACAAAGTGACAACAAAAGTTTTCATTTCACTGTACCCACATAGATTGCCCAGGTCAAAGTCATGTTCTGTTTTTCCTAAGTGATTTTTTTCATTGTCTGAAACAGTGGTTCTTGACTAAAGATGGAATTGTAGCTGGCTATATTTAGTCCTTTCACCTTTTTTTTGGTACTGAGGATCAAATTTGGGACCTAGAGCTTGCGTGGCAGGCGGTGGAACCACTGAACTATACCCCCTGCTGCTAGTCATTTCACCTTTTTGAAAACTAGTTATTTGATGCTTTTCTGATTGTGCTGTATATATTTAATGTCATCTCTCAAATGTCTTTCTGTTGAGTCTTTAAAGATGTGAGATTTGGGTTAATTTTGAGGAACTTTACAAGCTCTTTGTGTAGTTGCTAAGAATGACTCTGGTTTTCTTTGACTTTCCTTCATGTATTTGAAAATAGCTTAAAAATTAATAGCTTATGCAGAAGTTAGTTCATAATCTGAAGCTTTTTTAAAAAATGTATATATGTATGAATTTGGTAATGAGGATTGAACTGAGCTCCGTCCCTAGGTGCCCCTCCCATAATTTTTTATTTTGATTCAGGGTCTCATTAAGTTGCCCAGGTGGGCCTTGAACTTATGGTTCTGCTGCTTCATTGTCCCTCAGTGCTGGGATTATAGGCATGCGCACCCATGCCTGGCTTTAAAGCTTATTTTTGACTTATCTTAAAGTGGACTATGATCCAGCATACAGCTTTACCAGTCAGCGTTCCTTATATATTCTCGACTGTTCAGTAGAGAACAAGCATGCCAGTGTAAACATGCAGTTATAGGTAATAGCCACCCATTTCAAGTTCAGATGGGAAAACTTATAAAAACCAAAGATTTATGAAATTTTTCAAGTGGAAGTGCCAAGCTATGCTTTAGTCTACTACCTTTTATAGCCTGGAAAATTAAGGCAAAAGGACTAAACCAGAAAGCTTGAATTCTGTTCCAGTGTATTTCATACCATTTTGGTGACTGAACAAAGCATGTTATTCTATGCTTTGGTTTTCTCAGTCTTGAAGTGAGAGTGCTAGAGGTGACCACTGAGAGCCTTCTTTGAGAGTAGCATGGTTTGGATTTGACTTTTCTTTTATTCAGGTTGACTGTTTTTGTGTTAACCTCTCTGCTTTTCTCTTGAAGGGTCAGATGATTTGTCTGCAAAGCTGTGGGATGTGAGCACAGGGCAGTGCATTTATGGCATCCAGACCCACACTTGTGCCGCAGTGAAGTTTGATGAACAGAAGCTTGTGACAGGCTCCTTTGACAACACTGTGGCCTGCTGGGAATGGAGTTCTGGAGCCAGGACCCAGCACTTCCGGGGGCACACAGGGGCAGGTGGGTTGCCCTTTTTCAAGGGTTTTAACAGTTATTTTAGTCTCATCATTTAAAACCAGGTGCCAAGTATGAGAGACCTTTTCTTTTTCATGTTTTTAAAATTATTCTTCCATTTTTTTCCTGTTTCTCAGTTGCTGCAGTTATTTCCCTCTAGTCTAGTTTTGTTATTTGGAAAATTTTTACAATTTTACTTTTCTTTGTTGCATTTAAAAATTCTGTGTACCTTTATGCTAGGAGATGTAGTTCTTCCTTGCCTGTTTCATTTATATCCTGTTGGACAGAATCTGATTTCATAGTTCCAAATTGAATTAAGTCCTACACTTGTAAATTCTGAGGATTTTATTTGTAGATTTAGGGCTGACAATCCTTTGGAGTAAAGGTAGTTCACAACTTTTGTGTCTTCTCAAGATTACATTCTTCTGGAGCATACTTAACAAATGATTAAAGCAAGTAACCACTGAGAGATAAAAATACACCTGAATATTTTCTAATAAATATACAGCAAGGGAAATTAAAGGAATTACCTCTCATATGAAATTAAAAAAATTTACACACACACACACACACACACACACACACACACACACAGCAGCCTTAGTTTGCAGAAAACTGGTCTGTTAAATATAGCCTTGAGACTCGAGCCTCTCCCTTTACTGTAATTTGGAGCTGTGTGTAGAAATCATATTGAGCTATTTCCCAGCCTCTTGTGTATCAGCTCCCCCTGCCTTTTTCCATTTATAAAAGCACTCCTTTAGCCTCTGGGAATTACAAGCTATTTATTCTCTTAATATATTTATGGGAAGCCTTCTGGAACTCCCTGAAAAGGTGGGGCCTTCTGGGGTAGTTTTCCCATAATCTGCATTACTGTCACAACATTGATCATACAAGTAAATATGATAGCCTGTTTTCTTATCAGACCATACCCTCTATACAACAGAATCCTGCCTCTTGTTCACCCTATGTCCTGAGTTCTCTGCACTCTTACCTGGTACGGAGTAATTCTTTATAGAGTAAACCTATCAGTTTTGCTGGTAAAAGCACCCCCTACCCTCCTGTTTTGTTTACCCTTCTGTACATTTTTCTTCTTTCTTTGCTATCTGCTACCACTTATTTTAGAAATTAACAGTTGGTGGTGTATCACTTTGTATGGAACTTATATTAAACTGAATATTGATATTCTTCAATGTCAAGATACACCATGACTTCAGATGATTTTATTCCTGACCAGCTTTGAGAGCCCTGTTCTAACAAATGTTCTACTTGCTGTGTCCTGAACGTTGCTGTGGCTTTTCTTAACTCTGTGTCTTTGCTGTTCCCTCTATCTGCAGTTCTCTTTTTCTTTTCTTGATAAACTCTACTCATCCCCCAGGGCCCATCTCCAAAATCGCCTCTTCCCTGAAGTCCTCCCTGATAGCCCTGGGCAGAGTTAGTCATTCTCCTTGGGGTTTCCCTAGCAAGAGGTAAACTTAATTTTTTCTGGACTTCCTCCTCTATTCCATACTTAGAATTTCTTAAAGGAAGGATCAATGTCTTCATTTCTGGGTCCCCAGTGTCCATTGGCAGATAATTAAAAATAAAGACTGGGTACTTGCTATGTTGTCTGCATTGATTAGGTGCCGATCATACAGCTGGGAAGAAATTCAGACACTGTTCTGAGTGAATGGCTTAGTCTAACCTTTGAGGTCCTTGGTTTTTCCTCTAGATTGGCTTTTCTTGAGTCTGGGTAGTGTTTTGCAGGATGTGTTCTTTACATTTTTGTCTTACTATCATTGCAAATCTGAGTAGGGCCATGTATGTTCTCTCTTCTTGGATAAGATAGGTAATTTTTGAGAAGTGTTAGGCAGTCCTAAGAAGGAATGGCATTACTTTCATCACTGGTTTTGCTTTTTCTGAAGCTGGCACAAACACAAAATTGCATTGTTTCTAGGAATTTCTAACAATCTGTAATTGTAATAAGAATTTTGAAATTGTTTTTAATCATAAAAATTGCTGGTTGAATAGTACCATTCTTATAGTAACTCTGGTTAGAAGATTTTTGAGTAACTAAGGAGAATAAACATTTTTGAACATTTATTATAAAAGGTCCCTTGATAGAGGTATGTTTTAACTTTGTTCATGTTATACGCACTAGTGTTTAGTGTGGACTACAATGACGAACTGGATATCTTGGTGAGTGGCTCTGCAGACTTCACTGTGAAAGTATGGGCTTTATCTGCTGGGACATGCCTGAACACACTAACTGGACACACGGAATGGGTCACCAAGGTAGGAAGACTTAGAAGAAATCTTTATGCCAGGCTTTTTATTGATGGACAATGGAGAATAGTAGACACTGCCTTAAAAGTGGTAGATGACTCATAAATGGAATAGATGTAGTCATGAAGAATGATGGTATACAACAGTGAACAGCATATTGAAGGCATTAAGTACAAAGTTTAACGAATGGTGTATGTATATGGAAAGATGCTCACAGTAGATAGGTTACATACAAAAATGTAAGTAGACTGTGATGCTACTTTTTCTAAATGTGTTTATACACCAATATTTTATTTTGTTTTTAATTTATTTTTATTTTTGGGTACCAGGGATAGGACTCTGGTCCTTGCATTTGCAAGGCAGGCGCCAGAACCACTGAGCTAAATCCCCGGCTATGCACCAATATTTTAAAGGTGATTATTTCTGGTATGATTGGGGGTGCTCTATTTCCCTTTTAGAATGAGACTGTTTCTCTTTTCATTAGAATAGCAGTTTCTGCTTTGAAAAACTTAATTTTTTACAAGGAGTGAGGCAGGTGCTAGAGGTGTGCGGTGCAGCAGCAGAGTACTTGCCTAGTACGTGCAAGGCTATGGGTTCAATCCTCAGCACTGAAAAAAACCAACCAACAACCACCTCCAAATAGGGCAAAGAAACTTGTACAAATTCTTTTACAAAGTATATGGTGTTATCTAGTTTTCAAATCAAGATTGGTGTGAGGATGAAATACTGTATTGAAAGTGGGTATGACATGCAGAAGCACTTTCCATGAGCATGTAGCACCATTCTGTAAGGGACTGAAGACACTGGAATGAGCAGAATTCCGTAGACCCAGGCCTTACCCTTGTGGACGGTAGTTTAATAGGAGAAGCATTTATTGAACAGCAATTTCATGAATGCTATATAGTTACAAATTATGTTAAGTTCTGTGAAGGAAAGTACAGTGTTCTTTAAGAGAGTTTAGGAAGGAAACTTAATTAAGTTCAGGTAAAAAACATTTTGAAAAAACAAAACAAACCAAAACATGAAAGATTAGGAGGTGGGAAGAGAGCAGAAAAAATATTTCATGGGTTGCAATATATATACATATATATAGACCCAGGGATGGGAAAGAACTTTGAACATTTGGTGACCAGAAGGCCAGTGAAGCTCTGCTATAATTCAGAGAGATGGAGAAGTGACTATCACAGATGATTTACTAAGCCATAGTGAGGATGGGGGACCTTAGAATTGTATTAGGAAGCATCTGAAAGTTCTGATCAAAGGTCTGATGTGACTTATGTTTTAAGAAACTTGATATGACTTATATTGTAAGTTGGGTAAGGAATAAATGTATTAGTGTAAGGTATAGGTAGTAGGCTTAGGGTAAGCAGGAGGTGCCCATGACTTGGGCTTAACTTGGGTGGCAGTGAAAAAAGAAAGGGTTGTATCTTTAGAGTAAAGCCACCTAAACTTGTTCATACACTGTGGGGAACACAGTAATAGAATGAATTAGAGATGACTGATAGATTTTAGATTTGGTGGGAATTTTTCTAAATTAGTTGAAGCTAAAGGGAGAACAGTTTGTGAAATCAGTAATTATGTATTGAGCACCTGAAGGTTTTTAAACAGAAGTTGTATAAAGCAACTTGGTGTTATGCATAGAATAGTACTTGGGGCAGCATAAGACCTATGATGTTTGGGACAAATTACTCCTCCCTTCAGGATCTGAGTTTTATCATCTGTTTAATTCCCATTAGTGTTAAGTGAGGTAATGGGATGCACCCAGCAAGATACTTGATACTTACTAGTACATCTTGTCAGTTTCACTAGAATCTGTAACCCGGGCTTCTGAATGAATGAATCTTGTTGCCTCCCATCTTAGCTGTTTTACTTTAAAACTAGAGCCAGACATGGTCACATACACCTACCTGTAATCTCTGCTGCTGGAGAGGTTGGTTGAGACGGGGATCACTAACTAGTTCATGGGCAGTCTGGGCAACTTAGGAAGAGCCTGTCTTGAAAAATAAAGGGACTAGAGATGTAGCTTAATGTTAGAATGCTTGCCTAGTTTGTGCCAAGCGTGGTTCAATCTCCAGTGTTGGAAAAAACAAAAATGAATGAAAAAACCAAAACAAACTAGAGCTCAGCATTTAGATTATCCTAAGTGCTAGTGGAATGTTAGCTTCTATTACATTACTATTATTTATATAGTTTTATTTCATTTTCATATTTTTTTTGTTGTTTGTTTGTTTTTGAGACAGGGTCTCACTATGTAGTTGAGACTGACCTGGAACTCACTATGTAGCCCAGGCTGGTCTCGAACTCACAGCAATCCTCCCGACTCAGCCTCCCGAGTGTTGGGATTACAGGCATGCGCCACCATGCTGGGCTATTTCATTTTCATTTAATTGACCTGAAATAATAGGTTCCTTGGCTCCTATTTTCCAGGAGAAGAAAGTGAGAAACAGGTTAGAAGAAGACTGTGGATGTAGCTTAGTGGTAAAGTACTTGCTTAGTTAGCATGCCTGAGGCCCTGAATGTAATTCCCAGCCCTTAAAAAAAGAAGAGATTAGATGATCTAACCTAGTGTTGCAAAGTTAGTACAAGTCAAGTTCTGGTCCCAGGACTAGTGCTTTTTCCTCTGAAAGTGTGTGTGTTCATGAAAACAGATCGCTTGCATATACTTATGTCACACTTTGTAATTTTAAAAATCAGTACTGATGTTTGATTCCAGACTAAAGATTAAATGCTGCCAACATTGAATACTTTTGGATACTGTCAATAACAGAGAATCTGGTTTTGGTAAAATTCTTAGTAGTGGTTAACTTGGTAATAGTTCTAGCATATCATATCAAATTCAATTCCTTCCTTCCTTCCTTCCTTCCACCCACCAGGGATGTAATTCAGGACCTTGCACTTATAAGGCGTGCAGCGGCACCACTGAGCTAAATCCCCGGCCTTCATTTTCAGATTTAAATTTTTAAAAATGAAAAAGAGCAATATAAGCACAACATTAATATGGATGTTTATATTTGCAGGTGGTTTTGCAGAAGTGCAAAGTCAGATCTCTCTTGCACAGCCCTGGAGACTACATCCTCTTAAGTGCAGACAAATATGAGATCAAGGTGATTTTTTTTTCCTCCAGTAATTTGTTTCAACAACAACAACAAAAAAACAGCCTGACAAATATAAGATAATTAAAGTTATATAGCAGAGGGAGACTATTCCAAGAGAGGCAGAGAATGTCTTACTCCAAGTAGGGAGATGATGCCCTAGCTCTGTATGTAGTGTAATTTGTAACTGATTTCTAAGTGAAAAAGAAATTCACAAAATTTGTATTTTTCACTACTTGTACTCTAAGACAGCTACCTACTTTCCTTACTTCTAGACCCAAACTATGGAAATAGTCATTTGTCATAATGATTTGCAAAGAATGTATAAGATACTCTTTTTTTGGTACTGGGGATTGAACTCAGGACCTTGTGCTTGCAAGGAAGGTTCAGTGCCACTGAGCTAAATCCCGGCCCAAGATACTTTTTATACATTCTTACTTTTTTTTTTGTACCAGGGATTGAACTCAGGTCCTTGTGCTTGTGAGGCAGTCGCCAGAACCACTGAGCTAATTCCCTGGGCCTCTTACATCTTTTTAACCATCTTTATAGTAGGCATCTTCATAACAGGAGTAGAGATTCAGAGAGGTTAAATATTTCATATAAGATTATACAGATGAATCAGGTCTTAAATATATGACTCTAGAATGTAAAACCTGAATCTTTACAGAATACTTTACTTGGCATTTTATAGCAGCAAATGCAAACCACGTTGTTTGAGGACAGTTTTTCTATAGTGATGTGATCTCATCACTAATTTTCTTTTTCCTTTAGATTTGGCCAATTGGGAGAGAAATCAACTGCAAGTGCTTAAAGACTTTGTCTGTCTCTGAGGATAGGAGTATCTGCCTGCAGCCAAGACTTCATTTTGATGGCAAATATATTGTCTGTAGTTCAGCACTTGGTCTCTACCAGTGGGACTTTTCCAGTTATGATATTCTCAGGTGATGTTTCCTTGGACCTCATGTTTTAACTTTGAAAGTCTGATGCAGTTTAATACTAAAGATAAGACTATTTGAATATACTGCAACTGTCTTACTTTAGGAAATATTTAATGTAACATATATATATATATAATATATATATTATACATATATTTTGAATATGACACAAACTGTTTCAAGGTAGTAGGTAAATTGAAAAAGGGTTATATGGTGAAATTTAAAGATCTAGGGTTTTTTTAATGCAGTTCTGAGGATTGAACACAGAGCCTTATGTATATTAGGCAAGTGCTTTACTACTAACCTGCATCCTCAACCCTTTGCTCTTTTTGTTTTTTATTTTGTGGTAGGGTTTCCCTGAGTTCCTTCCATGTTAGACTCCTGAGTAGCTGGAACTAAACTGTAATTCCTCACCTACTCTTGAGTTACGAATTACTTCCCCTTATAAGATTTAGCATGCTTTTCTGAAAAATGAGGGACTCTGATGAGAACTGTTAGGTCTTCTAATATTTTAAGTGTACTTCACAGTTCATTCAAATTCTGCATTGTTGTACAAGTCTGGCCAACCTTCGCGAGGTCTAGAGATCATGTGACCTATTGACAAGTATGAAGAAGTACTAGAGAAAATATAAATTGCAGGGTTTCTTTCCAGAGAAACAAATAAGAGGTTCTTGGACAAATAATTTTGTGATTCATTGCATACTATAGATCAGCTTGAATATTAGCAGTGTCAGTTACCATATATTAGGCTGATGGAAGCCAGTGCTATGTGAGAAATGAGAAAATTTATTTTATTGATAGACTTAGGTTTTAGACCCAGAGCCATCTATAGTTGGCTCCATAATTTTGTGTAAATTTCTCAACTCCCTTGTGCCTCAATTTTCCTTTCTATAAATGGTATTAAGTGTGGTGAGAACCTAGTACAAGACCTGGCAGATCTTTACCTCTAAGAACTCTGAGAAACCTTGCAGTAAGAAACCTGTTAGAATCTGTTTAACCTCCTGTACTTCACACCTGTGGCGCACATATCCTTAACAGCTCAGTTAGTGTTACATAGCATGGTTCAGAAATGCTGACCAGAGAGAGTAGAGGAGACTGAGTGTCTCGTCATTGTTTTTATGCATGACTATTTGAGGTCTGCTGGTGTGGGGTCTAGTCACACTAGCCAACAGGACTTTGGCAGGCCACATCTTACTGGTTACAAAGTTACAACCTCATTTCTTTGAGTCTGACCAGTGTAACCAATAAGATTTCAGAGCCGGGAGAATCATTTTTAGAAATAACTAATAATTGTACTTTGAGAAAACAAGATTGAAATATCCTGAAGAAAGCCTAAGCTCTACATTTTGTAGATGGGGAAACTGAAGCTAAGACATGGTAGGGGCTTTGCCTAGCATTTCACATCTCATATTAGTCCAGCATCCAGTAGCCAAGTAATGCACTGGTAAGCCAAGGGCACCATAAATAAGAAAGAAACTTCTGGAACAACATGATATTTTTGCAAAGAAAAAATTAAAGCAGTCATTATGGGAAGATCATCTTTGAGTTGGATATTGCTTTTACTTTGAATTAAAATTTTGATAGTGTGCAAAGTAAGGTAGACTAGAGGTATCATAATTGTTTAGTGCTTAGAGTGTCCAAAGTTTTACATTTGCTCCTGCATTTCTTTCCCTCATGTATACTTTGTATTTAGAATGGCAGTCTGGAGACCCACATGAAAGTTCTTTTGGTTTTCAGTGTTTGGATATACCAGCTTTAAATAATGAATCAGCAAGATTGTTTGATGGTAGGAAGTACTAGGTTCAGAGTTTTTTGTTTAATCTCTGCCTTTTTCATTCCAAAGATAAATAAACTGACCTCTTTTGAAATACTGTAAGTCCTGCAGCCTCATAGGCTAGATCCGGTAGGGCCACTTAAACTTTGAAGCTAATTCAAAAGAAGCAAAGCACAAATGACAGAATATTGCTCAATAAGTCTGAGGTGTGATGCAATCTCTTCAACTTGGTTATCTCAGTGCAGCAGGCAAGGTTACTTAGGGTCAAGAGCCCAGTTTCCCAGCAAGGATGCCTGATTACAGTTTTAAAGTGATAAAGGGCTGGGAGGCCTGTCAAGATTTGCATTTTGTTTCTATACCATATTTGTGTTTCTGACTTTGGAATCATCTTTATCATTATTTAGCTCTATCCCCGGAGCTACCCAATTTCTAGTTGTACCCTGCTTAAAATTGATGACTAAGGAATTATTAGACATTATAGCTGTTTTTCCCAGCTTCTTTTGGGTGTGTTTAGTAGGAATTTGTATTTACATTCATTGCACCACTGCTTTATTCATTAGCAGACATTTATTGAACCCGTCTGTGTTTCAGGCATTGTCATGCATGCTGGGTGATAGCAGAAATACTTATCAGACTCATGGAAATTACTAATCAGCTAAAGGGAATAGTGATACTTAGTAGCTCATTGCAGGGGTTGGGTACAATTTACTGCTGGAGCACTTGGCTAGCTTGTGTGAAGCCCTAGATTCAGTTCCTAGGACTGAAACAACAGTAACAAGAAAAGCAACAAAAAACAGTAACAAGAAAACAGGCAAACAAAACAACTTGATTACATACAGATTTTTTAATGCTTGTAATAAAAGGAACATAATACAGGGCACTTCCTTGAGGAAGAGTTCTTTGAGGTGAGCTCTAGAGGAGTGCCGGAGTTAGGTGTGTAGTGTGGTCTGTTGCAGACAGAGAGAATGGTCTGTTTGAAGAATTCACCAGCGTAAGACAGTAGAGAGCCATCAATATACTTAGAAGTTTAAACAAAGTGGTAACAGAATCAGATTTTAGTGTGAGGGTTACTAATTAAAAGTGGCTAAGAGTAGATGAGAGACCAGTAGAAAGCTGATAGCATTTGTGTAGGCCAAGATGATGTCTTGGACCAGGGCTGTGTCCTAGAGATTGTAATGAATACATTAGAGAAGAACTTAGGAGGTAAAATCAATAGAGCTTGGCGATGGAATCTGTGATTTGAGTAAGAAGGAGCATTAGATAGTTGCCATGTTTACTTGCTTGAGTAGTTGGGAAAGTGAGTGAGTGAGGAAATAGGCAGCGGTGGCGAACTTAAAGATGCTCTTTGTTATTGCAAGCTCTAAAATGTTCACCTTCACTGACTGAAATAGGGAAACAAGTTTGACTAATAAATTCAGCTTTGGACAGATTGTATGTGAGGAGCTTTGCCCTCTTTACTCCTTAGTCCTGTTGGAAACGGGACTGCATGCCAGGCTTTAATAAATAACATTACCTCAATCCTCACTGTACAGTGAAATAAAGGTATTATCTTCATTACATTAGTGAATAAACTGAGGCTAAGAGTAAAAGTCTTGCCGTAGTCACATAGCTAATATAATGGAGACCTAGCATTTGAGCTCAGATCTTCTGTTGAATCTATATACTTTACAAGGGTTTTCAATAAATGTTTGCTGAGTGAATGAACATGAATGTCATAATGATGGGAAATGGTGAGTGAGTTATTGATTGTAACTCATCTGGAACATATTTTCTCTTTTACTTGTGGTTAATCAGCTTTGCTGGGATCAGGCTTCATCCTGTAGACACGTTCATAAAGGATTTCACCATAGAGTGTGGTCAGTGATGATTTTTGATGAATGCTGTTCTTGAACATATCCATACAAATGGTTTCCTCTTTTAGTAGCAGCAGCTTTTCTGTCTAGGAAAGTGAGCTTGTTCTTTGATCTGCTATGCAAGCAAAAGACCAGAACTTACCTGTTTTCTTATTTTCATGGATACCCTTAGCCCCATAATATCCACAGAATGACAGAATTTCTTTTACAGAGATTATCAGTTCCGATGTGATTAAAAAAATATGGTGAATTAATTTGTTATTTATTTATTTATTTTAAAAAATTTCTTACAGTACGCTGAGCTTGGGGGGGTATACATTGGTAATCTGAGCACTCTGGAAGGCTAAGATGGGATCACAAAGTTGAGCCAAGCTTGGGGAACTTAGTGAGAGACAGGAATCCTGTCTCAAAAATGGGTTGTGAGCTGGGCGTGGTGGCGCACACCTGTAATCCCAGCACTTGGGAGACTGAGGCAGGAGGATGACAGCGAGTTTAAGACCAGCCTGGGCTACATAGTGAGGTCCAGGTCAGTCTCAACTACATAGTGAGACCCTGTCTCAGAAAAATAAAAAAAAAGGGTTGTGAATGTACAAAGGCCCCGGGGCCCAGTACTGCAAAAGACCCCCCCCCATACAATAAAAGACACATTGCTATTAATCCCTGTCAGAATGTTCTTCCTCACTTTGAGCACACTTACCTCAATGTTCTTGCTACTTTGGGAAGCAGTTCTGGAAGTCCTCTTTCATGTCTTTAGTTGTATTGAGTCTCCCTTAATTTCTTGAATTTAAAGCATTGGCAGCAGCCTTCATCAAAACCTTGCCCATGGGAAGAAATTTGTAAAATTTAGAAAGGCCTTTAGCTTCCCTGAATATGGAACACTCAGTTCCATTTTTTCTTCAGGAAAAAAATTCACAAAAGGAAAACATTCTTCCAGGTCCACCTGATAAAAGAATACTTTGATTACCTTGATATTCCCATTATGTCCATTGTAGTGTTTGTGCTGAGCATGTTCTTACATTCTCAGTCATATGTTGTGTCAGTCATCACTCAGCATATCTGCCACTCAAAACACACCTATCCAGTTGAAGTCCTTTCATTTGTGCTCTGCTGTGCTCATTCAGGAATTGTATATCTTGAGTGAAGATGCTTTCTTCCTTATAGAAAGCAGCTGAATATGGAGAAAAGAGTATAGATTCAGGAGTCAGATCTGGGCTCAAATGTTAGCTTTCCATTATATTAGCTTTGTGACTTTTTACTCGTAGCCTCAGTTCATTCACTAGAGATAATACCTTTACCTCATTGCATTGTCAGGATTGAGATAACATGTTATTTATTAGGGTCTGCCTAGCACGTAGTAAAATGCTAGATAAATAAATGTCTTCTTCCTTTCTAACATTAGATTGAAGTCTACTTCTTTGTGAGTCTTTTCCTTTGATCTTAGTTCTGTCTTCTACAGCTTGTGTGTAGCCTGTCTTACATGTCCTCCATTGTTGAGAAGTAATGATACATGATTTCCCTGGCTCTGCCCTTTTTCCCCTCTCAGTTAATATCCTTTACCTCTTCCTTACTTAAGCCGGTTGCCAGGCCCTCCCTGTTCTCATTGGCTTCGTGTATATACACTAGTCTGGTATTGCTGTTGTTAATGCATAAACTAAACTTTCTCTTCCTGGAGTCAGTCACGTTGTATAAGCAATATTTGTATACCTCTTGTTTTACAGCTTTTACTAATGCTTCCAAAAAGACATCACATTTTCTAGTCAACCTTGTGCTTCACTAAAGATCAGACAACAAAAATGAATTTTTCCTTTTTCATCTGTGCTGTTTGTTTATATTCTTCCTATTTTGTGCCTTTGTTATTGATGTTTTGAAAACTGCCAAACTGTGAAAGTTGGGGCTACCCTCCCAACTCCTGCAGTTTTCTCTCAAAAAGTCTTAGGAATCTGTTATTGTTAAATGTTTCTAAATTATTTTTGAAACTTTATTGTTAGCCTCTACTATTTTTAGAGAGAAACCCATTTGTTGGGTGCCTGGTGAGTAGTAGAGTAGCACTTTAGTCCCTTAACTTTAGGTTTGTTCTGGGTGTTAGGATGTTTTGGTGTTCTAGTATCTGATATATGTCTTAGTGGTAGGAGTTGCCTCTTGCATTCTAGTTCTAACTGGTAACTCACAAATTATGAATCCTTAGCCAAAGTAAAGCCCTGGGCTTCAGTTTCTCACCTTAAGAATAAGATTGTTAAAGATGATCCTTCTTGGCCTGGATGGATGTTTTATGTTTTTGTAAACTATGTGACACTACCCCTCACCTACATACCAGTCAGACTAAAAGCCCCCTCCCCTTTAGTGAGCTGGGATTTGTCTTCATATTTTCATTTTTAGCAGAAACTTTCATTTAACTGTAACTTTGAATAGTATGCTGGTTTTAAGTGTTCCCAGAAATACAGTATCATCAACAGAAGCAAATCTGACCTCTGCTTCATGATCCCTTCAATCTCATCCTTGTAGGGTCATCAAGACTCCTGAGATAGCAAACTTGGCTTTGCTTGGCTTTGGAGATGTCTTTGCCCTGCTGTTTGACAACCGCTACCTGTACATCATGGACTTGCGGACAGAGAGCCTGATTAGCCGCTGGCCTCTGCCAGAGTACAGGAAATCAAAGAGAGGCTCGAGCTTCCTGGCAGGCGAAGCTTCCTGGCTGAATGGATTGGATGGGCACAATGACACGGGCTTGGTCTTTGCCACCAGTATGCCTGACCACAGTATTCACCTGGTGTTGTGGAAGGAGCATGGCTGACACCACGAGCCACCACCGCTAACTGACTTTGGGTGCCGGGGCTGCAGGTTTTGGGTGCAACCTCTCTGGCAGCCAAATGCATGAACCAAAGTTTTCACCTAATGGTATCATCACGCAGTGCACAATCATTTATCTGTTTGCCAGGGGCCAGGGCTCGGGGTGGGGGAGGGCTTGTTTTATTGACATACAGCGTAGCATGCTAATGGGGTACACCATTGATTTCATTGTACTTAGTTATGTTGGTCAGTGTAAGAGGATGCATTTTGGGTTCATCTTTCTTGAGTGGATTATTGGTTTTAAGTAAAGTTAAATGTTTCGTCTGCCAATTGGTTGCCTATGAAATCACATTCAGTCTGTTATTAAAGCTTTTTACCATAGCTTTTTTGTTTGAAGTTGAAGCAAAGGTGCTATGATGTTGTTACAGCAACTTCTTTCACATGGGGCTTAGCTTTTGTAAGAGCCAGTGTTACAAAGACCACCAAGTCCTGTGATGTTCATGAACTTTCCACCAAATAGCAGTTCTACAGAAAGTCTGTCTTCCAGTGCAAATCTAATTCTATAAATTGATTGTTTGCAACGCTTTCTAAAGCCTAGTGCTTGGCAGAGTCAGATTGGCATGATTAAAACATAGGGAGTTGTATAGTTTGTTTCCATGAGGAAAAAGCTTGCTCCCCACCACATCCCCTGGCTGGGTTACAGCACAGAGGCGATGTGGAGTAGTACAAGGAGCACTGTGCTAGAATATTGGTGACTGGTATTACCTGGGAACCTGCAAGCTCAGGCATATCATTTCCCTTGGTGCCACTGTCCTTGTTTGTGCAGTCAGGTGTACAACTAAGATTCTTTCCTGTACTGTATCCACTGAAGTGTACAAAGTTGATACTGTAATTTTTCTGATTTTTTTCTTCAAGTTGGAGATAATATTTAAATGAATCTCTGATACAAAGTTGTTATCTGTAAGGAAATCATTTACATGAAAAGGTCAAATAAAAGGAGACTGTAGAATATGTAACAGATTCCACTTAGAGAACAAATATTTGGTGGAGGAGGTGCTGGTAGGAGTTAGGCTTCTGTAGGGAGGCAGTGTGCGGAGAAAGAAAAATAGGTGAATTTGACTTCCTCATTTGCTCCTAATTTGGTCTGTGACATCAGGCAAGTTAGCTTTCTCTCCTTTGAGCCTCATTTTCTGCATTTTTAAAATGAAGGAATTGTTCTGGACTAGGGTTACAAACTCAAATCCCTTAGGGAATCATGCAGGAAGCAAATGAATAGAACATGTTGGGTAGGATTGTGTGGAACCTTGGAAAGTGCATATGAGAGAGAAGTTTCTCAGCTCTGGCTGTTTTATCATTAGCAGAAACAGGCTCGGTGTTGACAGGCGTGATTCTTCTCAGGAGTAGGTAGAAATGCAGATTTTTTACATCCCTTGATTTTTAAAATGTTAACAGCTGGTGGGGATTATTTAAGATAGGATGGGTTAAAAAACCATATCTACAATCTGTCAGTTTGTGTCTCCCACCCTCTTCAAAGTTAGGTGATTCTGTCATTTAGCAGTGGAAATGTTTTAACGTAATTGTCACAAATTAGGGAGAAAGCAGAAAGAGCCACAGTAGAAGCTGTTTTCCTTGTGTTATGGAGGGGGTAAAAGGGGTGGCTTATTGTATGGTAGACCCAGCAGGAAAGTCGTATGAAGATGAACGTGAGAGTTGGGACCTCAGGGAAGCCTCCTCCTAGGAACACAGCTCATTCCTTCTTGCTGCCTCTGATACAAAGCATATCATTTAACAGATGGGTAAAGGGTTGCTGGCAGGGCTGAGAATAACTTGAACTCTAATGTGGAGGCACAGCTTTCCACAGCCTGCATTAGCATTGAGCAGGACCATGGACCTTAGAATCAGTGGTTGGTTTCAAGGGCAGGTTTAGTTAATAATCATGTTGAAATTCCAAGGGGATTATGTAAAAGAATAGTACCTTCCTCTGCCTGCCAAATTCCTCCTGGCTTGAACCACCAGTGGTAGGTACATGCACGAGTACCCATTGCGTGGGAGAGTCATACATGTACCATGGATGGTTCAAGCCACCTGGCACTGACACATACGGATCATGACCCTGTGGAGAATGTTGATCCATCTCACATTGAGTTCTGTGCATGAGCCCTGCTTTGTCCTCCCAGAAATGGAACCAGAATGCAGCTGGAATCTTTTTAAGGCGCCTTTGGAGACTGAGCAATATGAGGGTAAATGATTTTCATTTTCAGTTAGCAGGTAAAAATACTTGAGATCACTGATTTAACGATCATCCTTACCCTGCATCTCACTTTCTGATAAATCTGATCACTTCAAAGGGCAAGTCAGAATAGTCATTTGTGGGAAGTTTTTTTTGTTTTTTTTTTTAATAACCAACTTGAAACCTAGGCCCCTTTTCAGTTTTCAGTGGTGAATACAGAAGTTATCAAGATGTCAAGATGATGCTGCCATTTTTTGACAGAAGTACTCAAGGCAGTGGTTGGAGTATTCAGTTCCTCCTCACAGATATCTTTATTTTACCTGTTTAATTGCTTTATAGGTGCTGGATTTATTCACAGTTGACTTTTAAAAATAGAAGGCTAGCTCTTCCTCTTCCTTTTTACAAAATAAAGCACAGGACCAGGCAGGAGCATAACCAAAGCTGTAGTTCCTAGGGCTCCTTTTGTTGCGTTTGGGGCTGTTTTGTGCAGTGCTGAGTTCCACTTCTTTAGCCCAGAGGCAGGGAAGGAGTGAGCAGGTATAAGCTTTTGGTAAACTTTATTCTCAACCCTTTGAAAGACAGTTTCCTTCAGCTCCTTTATTGGAAGTAATAAGCATTGTCATATCTGGCCCTAACCTGACAGTGATATGACAGTCTCTGATCTATCAGAGAACTAGGAAGGAAAGCCCCTCCAGTGGGAGGACTAGACTGTGGGAAAGTTCTGTAGGAAGATATGTATTTGTGTAGCATTTCACAACTGGAACATGACGGAATATTAGTGTTAAAAATCTAAGGTTTGGAATTAATTTTTCATAGTTTAAACTTTATTCCCCCTTGGCCATTGAAAATGCTTGGTAAGGAATGAGTGAGTACTATATAATCATTTTGTTATTTCTTACTGAAGAATGATTACAATGCACAGGGAGGAAAGAAAATAGAAACAGTATTATCTTAGACATGTTATTTTGACCTAAAGATGGTAGAGCCTGGCTTCACAACATTTCTTTGATTGAACCTATCTAGCTCCTTTTTTTTTTTGGTTTTTTTTTTTTTTGGTTTTTTGAGCCCGGGTCTCACTATGTAGTTGAGACTGAACTGGAACTCACTGTGTAGCCCAGGCTGGTCTCAAACTCACAGCAATCCTCCTGCCTCAGCCTCCCAAGTACTGGGATTATAAGCGTGTGCTACCACGCCTGGCTTTAGCTCCTTTAAATTGTGATAATGTGTCTTCATTTCTTGGGGGCTAGGAGATGAATCTCATTCAGATGTCAATCTTAAAGCCTATTGTGCTTCCTTTTCTGGGACTTAGTGCACAAACCACTTTCCTTTCTCTAGGGAAGCAAGCAGAATTCCATCACATCTCGTCACTATTCCCAGATGTAATCAAGGGTAGGGCTTATTGATCCCTTCTTTTTCATACACCAAGCTGTCAGGATAGGGGAGAAGCTCTTTAGGTCTGCTAGACACCGCTTTTCTACCTGATTATGCTGGTGCTTTTGCTATGATGATTAAAAACAAGACACTTGAGAATTGTGCAGTTCTCAGGTGAGTGATGAAAACAACAGAATAGCCTTCTTGTGTTTTGTTTTTTTTTCAGTGCTGACAGTTAAACTCAGCCATCACAATGAGATATATATATATATATCATCCCCACCCCCACCCCCTTTGGTTTAATGTTGAGGCAGGGTATTGCTAAGTTACCCAGGCTGGGTTTGAATTTGGAATCCTCCTGCCTCAGCCTCCCAAAGAGCTAGGATTACAGGCCTGTGCCACTATGCACAGCCCATAAGTTACCTTTCTGGTAAAATGCCCACTAACCACCTTTGGCAGTGTTTCTGACCAGAGGTTCCTTGTGTCTGCTCTGCAAAAGTGAAATCTTTCAGAATAAACCCTTCAATGAATTCCTGGACTGTCTTTGCACCCCTCTCTGATAATCATGCTCAGCCTAAAAAGGCATTTTGCTGTCAAGTTATGTGTTGTGTCTTCCCTAGAACAGTTGCCTCAAGTTAGTATTTCAGTCCTGACCAATACAAACCCACTTAATTAATTATTGCATCCCACAGACGCCAGCTACTTTTACTCTTCACAAATGTACCCAAGTAAATATGTTTTTGTAGATTCAAGCCTGGCAAATTATTAATTCAGGTAACAAAACCTCATAATGATTTGGTGTTCTTAATGAACAGACATATTTCACTAACCTAGACTTAGGACTCTTGATGAGAATGCTCAGGTTGAAAAGGCTGGTCTCACCAACATCCAGCAACATGGTAAAGTTCATAAACTCATGTCTCAATAACTTGATGTATGTTGTGATCCAGAGGGATTGAGGTAAAGTTTATATTTGGATAGTGGGGGGGCTTGCTTAAGCCAATAGTGGAGTGATTGTGGAACAAGATGACTACAAAATGAGAAGTTATTTTCATGTGTCCTAGAAAACCATTCTTTTATCCATGAGTGATTGTGCTAATTATAAAACATTTATATCTATATATGAAAGCAGGTTCCTTCAGATAGGTAACATTTGGTTAGCCAAGCCCAAGTTATTGTTTGTACTTGAAAGTAATAAAGTTACATTTCCTTAAAAATACATCATGTAGTTAAGACTTTTTCTTGTTCCCCGCCCCGCCCAAGCTGGTTCAGGGACCTTTCAAAGTATGTTTTGGATTGGGAATGTAGCTCAGTATGGAGTGCTTGCTTAATATGAATAAGGCCAGGGGTTCCACCTCTTACACACAAAAATTGTATGTATATTTAGAAATGGAGCTGCCCTGCCTGTGATCTAAAGTGGCTCTGCTCATTTACTTTTTCTTGCATGTTCTCAACAGTGTAACAAGTAAAATACAAGGGAGGGGGCTAGGGATATAGCTCAGTGGTGCCTCCAAGTTCAAGGTCCCGAGTTTGATCCCCAGTACCCTCAACCCCCCAAAAAATGCAAGGGAGGAATTTTTGTGACGTTCATGAATAGATGCAAATGGAAGGGGAAGGTGCCATTTTACAGATTCTAGACCTTGGGGTGGTCTTCCACCCTTTTGTCCTCATGTTTCAGTGTGGGTTTTTTGTTGGTTTGTTTGTTGCTGGAGATTTAGCCCAAGGCCTTCAAACTGAACTGCATCCCCAACCCTATATATGTATGTATGTAAGTAATTTTGAGACGGTCTTGTTTAGTTGTCCAGCTTGGGTTTGAACTTGTAGTCTTCCTGCCTCAGTCTCCCAGAGTGCTGGAATTACAGGCCTGAGCCACCACACAAGGTTGATTTTAATATTTCGGGCTTCTCATTTGCTTAATAAGGTTCTGTACCTCTGACCTCCCAATGGCACCATTATAGGACGGATTCATTTTTGTTCTCACAGAGCGGTGAAGCTCGGGCATGTTGAGTGGTGTGGTTGAAACCCTGATTTTCAGCCTCCAGATCTGTAATTTCCCTACCTTCCCATATTCTCTCTATGTCAAGTCACTTAAAAGTAGAGCTGCTGCCTTCCCCTTCCCCACTCCCGTGTGCCCCTTACAGTCGTGTATATGAGCACTTGGCTCTTGTGTCTCACAGGGCATGTCTGGACTCCCTACCTAACCTGAAGCCCTAGCTTACTTGTTCCTGCAAACAATTCTTGCTATCTTTCATTCCCTACCCTTGCTTGTACTTTGGACCTTGTTCTTCTATCTCCATGGAAAGTCCTCCATGTTCCCTCCCACCAGTCTTAGGGCCAGGCCTTAGGTTCCCATCGATCTCCCACAATTTTTAAGGTCTCCTGACTATCAACTTCTACTCCGCCTGACCAAGTGGTTTTGTCTGTGGTAGTTAGTTGTGCAGTGCACTTGGCAATGAAACACATAAGTAGCTTTTGCAGTTGACATACTGTTTCACCCATACACTTTTCAAAAATTCAAGTGAATATCTTGTCTCCCAGCAGCACTAAGTGCCTGTTCAGTAAGCTCTTCAGAGTTCAATAAATTCTATAGATTATTTTAAGGACTCTGTGAACTAAAAGAAAAACAACTTAAGAGAACATCAAAGCATTGAAGATTCAGAATAAAATGTCACAAGTGAAATAAAAGACCAGTCAGTTCCACATAGTTTCTGACTTAGACTTCTCTATTCTGTCACATCTTGTGAAGGTGGTGTACCGAGTACAGTTGGGCAGAACACTTGATGGCCACGGTGTGATCTAGACATGAGTAGTCCCTTGCCAGTGGGATGTTCCTGTCCTTTGCATTGTATTATCTGTTCTCGGTGATAAAGGTTTTTAAAAATTTATGGAGAAAACTATCGAGTTGCTTTATCAGTATGATTTTTAATATGCTTTTCTGATCCTTATGCACATTTGTATAGATTTATATGGCTGCAAATCATGGTTTGGTAGTGTGCTGTCGGAAATGTGCTGTAATGTCTTTATAATTGACATAACACATTGCAGTATTTCTTCATTATTGTAATTTGCTAAATCATTCCTGTTTGGGTAATTAGGTAATTTTTAGTTTTGCTTTTTAGATATTTACAATACTGTTTATTTCCTTAGAATAATTTTTCAGTAGATCTATTAACAAAAGCAAAGGAAAAAAATCTAAATATTATTGTTACAGATGCAGGAGAGTGAATACAGGTAGTTTTACTGAATACAGAGTTATCTTTACTCATTCCCCAGGTCAAGAAAGAACATTTCTGGTACGCCAGTGGCTCATGTGTGTGTGTGTGTGTGTGTGTGTGTGTGTGTGTATTTTTTTAATGTTACTGGGGATCAAACTTGGGTCCTTAATGCTTGTGAGGCAGGAGGTGGAACCACTGAGCTAAATCCCCAGCCCGACAGAAATTATCCTCTCTCTTGCTCTTTTTTTTTTTTTTTTTTCCATACCGGGGATTGACCTCAGGACCTTGTGATTGTGAAGCAAGCAGCGGAACCGCTGAGCTAAATCCCTGGCCCCCTTTGCTTTATATTTAGCATGAGACTTTACAAGGGGGTTAAATTGGTTTATGCTGTCACAATGATGGATTGGTGTGCATTTTTCAAAACAACATTAGTTTTGAGTGATTATTTGAAATATGTCTGCCAATCTAGTGAGTAGTAAGGAGGTAGCCCAAGGTTACTTTAATTGACATTTCTTTTAACATGTGAAGACATTTTCATGTATACTTGTTTGTATTTCATTTGAGCTGTGCATTTTTGACTCATTGATGTTACATTTTCAAACCCTCATGAAAATGTTTTACTACATTTTCACATACTTGTGAGATGACTTATAAAACTTCACTAACCTAGATGTCAGTTTAGAAATAATAATTTAGAAATAATAATTCAACCCAAGGGATACATTGAAGTTTATTACATGAAAATGACTGAGGGCTGGGGATTTAGCTCAGTGGCACCACGCCTGCCTTGCAAGCACAAGGTCCTGAGTTTGATCCCTGGTACCAAATAAATAAATAAAGCAAGCCTTGGAAAATGACTGCATCAAGCGACCTGTCCATGGTATTTCCATCCCGTTAATTACTGTAATATGCATTGTCTCCTAGAGTGGGTATAGTGAAACCTACTACTAAAGAATAGAGCTAGTCAGTGCTGGACAGATAACAATATTTGAATTTAGCCTTTTTCTAATGTATCACAGGTAATCAGTAATATTGAAAGGAAAACGAGCAACCATAAATCAAAAGTTTTTTCCCCGAGATTGACTATAATGTCTATTGAAGTTCAAAATGAGGAATTAATCCAGAAAGCAACCAAGTGCAGATTCCCAGCACATAGTAATCCTAGTGTTTTGTGTGCTGGCTCATTAATGCAGAGTCAGGAAATGGGGCCGTCATATGTGCTTTTCTATCTCAGGCCTCTCAAATGCAGAGATTTTTCAGGGTAGCTCACATTCCTGAGTTTGTTAGCTCAGCAAATTCAGCCCTGCAAGGCAACTCTCGAGCTAGTTAATCATTCAAGCTCTAAGGGCACAAGGCTTGACTCTGTGAGGGTATTGGAAAAACAACAAAACGAACACAGTGTCTCTGTGTCAGAAAAATCAGAGAGGTAGAATGATATTTGTTTTGCCTTTTTTAAAATGCCCTCTTTACCCCTACTAGAGTG